TTTTACAAAAAGTTATAATAAAATACTATTTAAATAAAAGTTTAAATTAACATTTTATTTTAAATTAATTTCAAAATATAATCAAACATACTCTTACTGTTTTGGATAATTCACAAGTATCTAGGTTTTTTTTTTTTTTATGACGTAGAACCCCGCAGCCGCTACCCGAAAGTACGCTTTGGGTAAACTCCCGGCCGAATCTAATACCCTACAAACTAAGTTCGACAGACAAATCACACTAGACGAACCATGTGTGGTAGATGACCTGAGGCGTAAGAAGATTTGAACCCATCACCTATCGACACAAGTATTTAGTTCTTAATTTAGTAAACAGTCACTGTATACTAATAAAATATGTTTATATTTCAACTAAAATAATTACAATCATACTATTTTATTAATTATTTTTCCATGGCATTTTAGTCATTATAGTCTTATATATTATTCGAAATTAATTTTAATTTGTTACATTAGAAATTAATTTAAAGACTAATTATAATTGAGGGATGAAATTATCATTCGATATATATATATATATATATATATATAGATAGATGATGGTGAGAAGTCTTGAAATTCCACTTTATCTGCATGCGGCTGTGGATATATGAAGAAAAGTAAAAAATATGACCATGCATTGATCCACAGGAAAAATTAGACGTAGAACCTGAAGTGGCAATGATATTCCATAGGAAAAGACAATGGTGGAAAAGCGGATTATTAAGCAGACAAAAAGACAAAGGAGAAAGAAGAAGGAAAAAACTAAAAGTGATGTTAAAAAAAAAAAAAAAAAAAAAATCTATAGACAAAAAGTTTTGCAAGTATTTTAATCTGAATTAGCACACCATTGAATAAAAAGTAGCAATTTGTATAAAATAAATTTAGCAACAGAAGAAAATATATAATAATAAAACTTTAATAATTGGTACTCCCTCTGTCCGTTTCTAGAGGTCACATTTATCTTTTTGTGTAATTGTACATAATATTAAAAATATTATTATATTTGTATAATTTTATGTACAAATGTTGTTCTATTAGTATTATAAGATACTAATGAAAGTATTTTTGCAATATTTTCTTAATTTGTATTATGTGTTCATATAATAATTAATATTCAAAAATCAACACGAAAAAAATAAATGAGAACCGGACGGAGAAAATATATAACTAAAATATGACAGCACAAAATATAAAGCGAGAAAGCTAAGTTGAAATTACCATGAGTAAAATTATATATATACTTTTTTTTAAAAGTAAAATTATAAGAAAAAAAAATTATATTGTTTTTATAAGAACATAACATCAATTAATAAAATTTAAAATTGATCACAGAATGGCATAATGGTGTAGAGGTTGATTTGTGACCGTCGGGTTGGTCTGTATAATATATTAATTTTTTGGAAAAAATATATTTAAAAATTTTTGGTAAAAAAAACAAAGCTTATAAATCCGTTGAAATAATAAATTTGTAAGCTTTTTTAACAGGGGTTTTGAAAATTTGAGAATTAAAAAATATTTGAAAATAAAAAAAATAAGTATTTGATAGTATAATATTTTGTTACAAGAAATCGACATTTAATACTATAATTTTTTTTAAAAAAATTGATAGTGTCAAATTTTTTAAAAAATACATAGAGCTAAGACAATCAACTAGCTAGTGTTATTTTGTAGGAATATTATTTACGCTTTTGATTTGAAATTAAATATTGATTTGAATTTTTTTAAATAATATTTAAATTTGATTTTTTAAACATGATATATATATAATATATTTTTATTGAGAAAAATAATATGTTTCTTTTAACCGAGTTTCCTCAAATTTTATTATTTAGACTCTGTTTTTTTTGAAAAAAAAAAAATATTTTTTTTTCTCAAAACATCCCATCAATCATTATATTTATACCAAATTCAAACCAACTTTTTTCAAAACTCATCAAAAAAACACATGTAGTGTTGGTTTTGATTAGAAATCACAGCCAAACACATTAAATATGATAAATCCAAACACAAAGAAAATAAACATACAGCCGGGTAATAATAATAATAATAATAATGATAATAATAATAATAATAATAATAACTTGCTTATATTAATTAATTATTTGTGATTGAATTTAGTGTAATATGGTATTAATTATACATATCAGTCACGGTTCAAACTAGAACTTGATTTTTGAAAATAATAATATCTCTGTATTAATAACGCAAATCTGCTCTCTGTTGAAGCATTAAAATGACTTCGCAAGACTACCTGCTACATTTTTTTTATTATTAATAATGCTTAACATGTACGGCGGCACGTCAAAATTGATATTCTTTCTGTTCATCATAAAATTGACAATTTAATAGTAAGTAGTAAACGATGTACTGAAATATTTAATTCGGATGTGCTTTGAATGGACACTAAGGATGGTTCATAGAAACTCATCAAACAAACTGACAAATAATATCCACAGTGAGAAAATAATCTATTTTATGTATTCTTTTATTTATTTATTTATGTATAGCTCTACAATGTGTATCTCTATAATTATAAATACCTCTCGACTTAGCAACACTTCATATCATCATCAAGCAAGTCTCAGTGAATTCTCAAACACTGCCCTCTACCAAGACTTTAAAATAAATCGAAATAAGAAAACACGAAGAAAGTCGAAAATTCGACGATGGAAATCGCAGCGCCGGCCCTTTCGAGTTTGGAGGATGATCGTCGATCTCTAACGTACCATGCCACGGTTTGGGGGGACTATTTTCTCTCCTATGGATCGGTATGTCCATAATTCATTAGCATCTTTACTTGCATTTTGTTTATTTAATTTGGTTCTTATCTTAATACAATATTGTTAAAATTCGAGTAGGAGATGATGAATGCCGACGATGGTAAGCTCGAGACGCTTAAAGAACACGTGAGGAAGCTCTTGGACGCAACGCCTAATAATTCGTTGCATAAATTGGAATTGATCGACACAGTGCAAAGGCTTGGAGTGGGCTACCATTTCCAAAATGAGATCGAGGGGTCGTTGAAGGAAGTGTACGATGCTTATGCCAAAGGTGGATTCAACGATGGCAACGACCTTCATGTGGTTGCTCTTCGCTTCCGCTTGCTTAGGAACCAACGCTTCAACGTGCCATCGAGTATGTGTTTCCAAGTACTAGTTCTATGTTAAACTATTTTTTATATATGTTGGATACTCAATGATGATCGTTTTATATGTAATAGATGTGTTTGAGAAATTCATGGACAAGGAAGGAAGGTTCGAGGAGTCATTGGCGAACGATGTACAAGGGGTATTGAGCTTGTACGAAGCATCCCATTACAGCGTACGCGGGGAGAAAATACTCGACGCCGCATTAGAGTTTTCATCGACTCATCTCGCGGCCGTAGTCTCCCATATTGGCGACGCGCTCCTCGCCGCCCGAGTTAAAGAAGCGTTAGAAACCCCGATCCACAAGTGTTTGAATCGGTTGCACGCGACGAAATTCATCCCGATATACCAAGGATACGAGTCGCACGACGTTTCGCTCCTGGCCTTGGCTAAGATGGACTTCAACTTGGTCCAAAAGTTGCATCAGAAGGAGATAAGCGATCTCACGAAGTGGTGGAAGGATTTGGATTTCGGCAACAAATTCCCTTTCGTGAGAGATCGAATGGTGGAGTGCTACTTCTGGATCATGCAGTTGTTCTTCGAGCCCCGATTCCATGTGGGGAGGATGACACTGTCTAAGGTGCTGATGATGATCACCATCATCGACGACATTTACGACGTCCATGGAACTCTGGATGAGCTCCAAGTGTTCACCAAGGCCATCGATCGCTGGGAGCCCGCGGCCATGGAAGGGCTGCCTCCTTACATGACCTCATGCTACGAACTGCTTCTGGAAGTTTACGATGAAATGGCGGAATTGGTAAGAGCCGACGGAGAATACCGAACGAGTTACGCCAAAGATGAGGTGTGCATGTGCTAATATAATTCGTAAACATATATAATGGTTTTAATTCATTTGTGGGTAATTATATTTTGATGGATTATATATTGTTGCAGATGAAGAAACTCTCTCGAGTTTACTTCGAGGAAGCCGTGAGGCTATTCAAGAGCGAGACTCCAACGCTGGAAGAGTACTTTAGGGTTGGGGTTCCATCTTTGGGGTATATGATTGTGGCCGTCACTTGCTTCGTCGGCATGGGAGATTTGGTCGGGAAGGAAGACTTCGATTGGGTCGCCAATGAGCCCAAAATCGTGTGCGCTTCGTCGTTGATCGGGAGACTAATGGACGATATGGCCGGATACCAGGTGAATATATATATTTTATATATATATGATCTTGATTAACTTCATCAAAAAATTAAGCTAATTGTTTCATAGATCTAACAATATATAAATGTATGATGTTAATGTAGCTCGAAAAGAAGCAATCTTCGGTGCATGTGTACATGAGCGAGAAAGGCGCGACGAAAGAGGAGACATTCGTTGCGCTTAAGGAGAAGGTGTGGACAGCCTGGCAAGACATAAACGAAGAATGTCTGAATCTGAAAGGTCTTCCCATGGCGGTTGTTGAGTGCCTCGTCAACTCGGCGCGTACCTTTCACCTCATCTATAGGGACGGCGATGGATTCACCGATTCGCAATCTAAAGTCAAGGATGCTATCAAGGCTTCGCTCGTCCATCCCATGACCCTTTAATTTGTAGATACATACATTTATATATATATATTATTAATATTTTTATGTTGTTTAATTAAATGTAAAACTGCGAATGGATCATCGAGGCTAAACCGTAGATCATCAGCAGCATAATAATCGCTGGATCTCGAACCTCCTTGTAACCAACGTTACTTAATTAATTCTTGTATTTGTTGCTTTATATATATATATATATTATGGTTACTGTTATATTACATAGTTTTGATAAACCCTAACTACATTAATTTGGGAGCTAGCTAGCACGAATCACGATATTGCAAATTTCAGCTCCAACTTCAAAGGTTCTAAAGGTAAATTAACTTTAGAATTCTTAGAACTTCATTGGGGCACGACAACTCAGTCTTGGTGAGCCACTTCTTTTGAAAATAACACAAGCATTGCTTATTTTTTTGTTAAGGACTGTTTTGTCTTTTCAGTCAGTATTTACCCATTTGAATGGATGTTTTTAAAATATTGAATTAGGTTTTTTCTTATCCTTTTCCCTAATTAAGAAAATTCCTCCCTCATGAAGTTTTAATATTTTTGTATACCCAGCCAATCGCAGACGCCTTGGTTTTGAGTTCATTCTATCTTCTCACTGCGCAACTTTTCTGCTTCAAATCACTACGACATCGTCTTCTTCTTCCATCGTCTTATTTTGCAGCTTGCCGGCCGGCAAGGCCATCCAACATATTTCCAGTTATCAACAGGATGAAGGAAGGAAACATAGAGCGATCGATTTTAGGGGAAACACACAAAATGGGAAATGGGAAAACCTATTGCGTGACGGGGGCAACCGGTTACATAGGATCATGGCTGGTCAAATCCCTTCTCCAAAGAGGCTGCACTGTTCACGCCACTCTCCGGAATCCTGGTTAGTTCATTAATTTGTTCCACTTCAATCGATTGCACCAACTAGATAACATTTCCAAAAAAAAAAAAGTTCAATTCGCTAATGCTGTCGTTATCTGAGTTTGATTCGACTGAAGCTTCGCGGGAGGATATGAACATAGATTCAGTAGTTTCTTCCTGATATTAGGAGATTTGTGTTGTGCCTGATGGAATATGTCTTAATGCTGTAGACCTGTAGTAGAAGTAATGATCTGTAATTTAAGTGACAAATGAATTTGTGTAGATGATGAGCCATGAATAACTTTTGGTTGAGTTTCTTATGCCTTAGCTTAAATAATTATCAAAAAGTTACCTACTGTTGGAACCAGAGAAGGCATCCCATTTTGTCAGTTTATGGCAAGGGGAGGATCGGCTGCGTCTATTCACAGCTGATTTACAGGAAGATGGAAGTTTTGATGATGCAGTAAGAGGCTGCCATGGCGTGTTTCATGTTGCAGCTCCAATGGAATCGATTAGGGTGCCGGCTAGTGCAGATGCTGGTAATTGATTAGTCCCTTCTATGCAATGTTCCGACAGTTCTATTCGCAATTGTGCCGTCATGATTTAAATAACTTGCGCGCTTACATTCTTGTTTCGTCTTGAAGAAAACTATGTTAAGACTGAGGTTGTGGATCCAGCCGTCCGAGGGGCCCTAAACATACTCAAAGCTTGTTTAAAATCGGATACCAGAAGGGTTGTTTTTACATCGTCGATTAGTACAATGAGTGCAAAGGATAGCTCTGGAAGATGGTTACCAATAGTAGACGAGCATTGCCAAATTCCCATCCACGACGTTCTCAAGGCTAAAGCGAATGGATGGGTACTTTTTATCACCTTTGCTAAATTTGTCGCGATGAAATTCACTAGTAGAAGTTTTTGCTAGGCTTATGTTCTGTCAAAGCTCTCGAGCGAAGATGCTGCATTCGAGTTTGCTGAGGAGAATGGCATTGATCTTGTCTCTGTTATTACGGCAACTGTAGGCGGTCCATTCCTCACTCCTACTGTCCCTACAAGCATTCAATTTCTCCTTGCGCCGGTAACAGGTGACTTCGAAATCCTTTTTCAAATTGAACTACGAATGATCTAAAAATACTCGGGTAAAATTCAGGCAGTCCTACATTGTTCCCGTTGTTAGAAGCTGTGAACTCGAGAATGGGATCGATTGCAATGGTTCACATCGAAGATGTCTGCAATGCACATGTGTTTTTAATGGAGAGAACCTGCGCGAAAGGGCGATATCTCTGCTGCGTCGAGAGCTGTTCAATGTATCGACTGGTTGAGCTCTTGAAAGCAGAGTCTTCTTTTCCTGTTGCTCTGAGGTTGCTGCTTTAACAAATTCTGATCATTGCATCCTTCGTATTTTATGTCTTCTTGTTTATTGTGGATCATTTTTGTTGATAGGTTGGAGCAGGATTCTTCGAGTCCTGTCGAGATTTCTTCGAAGAAGATTCGGGACTTGGGGTTTGAATTCAAATACAGTTGTCAAGACATTGTTAAACAGACTCTGGACAAGTGTTTGGAGTTTGGATTTCTACCACACTCTCGAGAATGAACATTCATACATGGTAATAGTATTACTTTCTCCAAATGTAAGCTGTAAAACAACTGTATCGAACATATTTTGAATAGCATTTTCCCTCTAACCAACCAAACAATATGAAATCACAAAAATCAGTACAATATGACAGACTTGCCAAATTCCTAAAAATCATTCATTAATTCATTCACATTAATTTCAACAAAGAGCCTGTTCTTGCAAACCTCAGGCCTTGCAAATAATAACAAAACAGGGCAGAAGAGCTTTCGGATTGAGCAAGTAAAGCTCCTCAATGTTAGAATGCAGCCCAACTTTACCCGCCAGCGAATCAAACCCCGCCGTCTGCCCGGCGACGTCCCGGAGGTTCTCCACCGGCCGGTGAACCCTCCCGGCGATGACTCTGCAGACAATCAGCGCCTTCCTCGTCCCGGCGCCGCCATCCCCAATGCTTTCGAACGCCCTTCCGCTAGTGGAAGTCGTGAAAACGCCAACCCCGTCTCTCAGGTCCGTCCTGCCGGAAAATCCTTGCCGGATTATGCGGCAAACGCAGCATTTGTCGGAAACGCATATGCTGGAAGTTCCGGCGATGGCGCAGGCGAGAGTGGTGCCGTAGAACCTCAGCAGCTCGTTGCCGTCGGCCAAGCATCGTGGGTGCTTCTTCTGGAGCTTCCCGGCCCTGATTTTCACGGCCTCCCGGTGGTCCTCGAAGCGGGCCAGAGTGTTCTGCGTGTTGTGGACCTTAAACACCCTGTCGATTCTCACGCTGTGGCTCTCCGATTTCACCCAGCTCGATCTGCAGATGATCTCCACTATCTTCCTCGACGAATCGCCTTCTATGAGCTCAGTCACTGCGCAAGATAGCACAACAGAACAGAACGATCTCATAAATTGATTCGATTAGGGGAAAAAGGAAGAAAGACACGACACAGAGAAAATGAAAAGCCCTAATTTTTACCGGCATGTTTCGACAAATGGTGCGATTCAAGAGCTTCCCATTTGGCAAAATTCTCCCCACACTTGTGGCAAGTAACGCCGGCGCCATTGCAAGAAGGAGGTGCACGTGGCCGCGGCCGGGCGCTTTTGTGGCCGGGAATAACAGCAGAGCCGCCATTGTTGGCAGAGAAGGTCCTGAAGGAAGGATTGAAGTAATGTACAGTGGGGTTTAGGGTTTGTCCTCCAGGGCCAGGCGTTCCTGGTTTTAGAGTCCCCAAATCCACAAACGCCGAGCCATTGATGCTTTCATGGAGCCCTCCAAAACCAGTGGTGATTTTGAGCTCGCATTTCGAGTTGCTTAGGATGACCTCATGGGCAATCGGGTTGAGAAACTCACTGCTCCCTATGGACCTCGGGCTACAGCTCGGTGGCCTTTCTGGATGCGCCTTGCTTCCGCCATGGATGACGTCTCTCAGATTAGCAATGGACCTCGAACACCCCGACCTCGGCCCTTTCCTTGTCAGAATTGAGCTCAATTGCTTCCTGCTCTTCGGGCTCTGAACCTCCGAAGCTTCTGTCTTGCACTGCAACGATTTCTTCAAAGAAAACCAACCTGTCGTCGTGGGTTTCTTCTTCTCCCCCATTTCTCCTCCACCATGCTCAAAGCTTCTCCATTTTGATGGCAAGAAGAAGACTATTTATTGACGACCTTCCTCTCAGGCAATTTCACGAACACCTCAAAGGCTATCTCGAGACAACCTCACCCAACTGTACATTTATTCCTCTCGGTTCCCAACAACAGCTTACGTACTACACGAGCAAGACAAAAACTTCAGTAACAACTTTGAATGAAGAAATGAGAATCTTTTGAGATGAGAATGGAGAGGTGGACACAAAGTAAATGACAGATGAGCTGCTTAATTACAGGGCAAGGAAAGGAAATATTGAATGAATGAATGAATCAATTTCACTGGCTACCCTCTTTAATGGTCACATCATTCAGAATTGAATTCCTCACGGGGATTCGATTCTCGAGCTCTGCAAACCAATTGGAAAATTTTCTTGCAGATGAGCTTTAAAAGAGATGAAATTGTAGTACTAAAGCTCAGATTTTTACTGCTACTTGAAGGTCACGGGAGTTCAAATCAATGGCTTCCTCCAGAGAGTTGCTGTTACAGAGTACATGTGTGAATTGAAAGCCATTAATCAAGCAAAAGCAAAACATATGAGAGAATTTTGAGAACATCACGATTATGAAAAAGTCACAGCAAAATTGCATCAATTGACCAATCCCAAAACGCAAGTGGGCGAGTCCTTGAAAAGAAGAGCTTATAATTATTACATGTGGAAAGGAGGAGCAGCAGCAGCAGCAGCAACATGGCATTCAAAGGGAGGGTGAAAATGATGGCACTGCCACTGCTAAATGAAATGAATTATAATAATAAAAAAGATTGAATTGGGACATTGATTGTGGTGCTATTATTAGCAGAGCAGAATGAGCACTACTATACTACTCTACAATGGCTTGAGGGCCCAATCTACTTTTCAAAGACCCACCATGTATTGTTGTAGTCCATTGTCTGAATCAATTTCCAATTTTTGCCTGACTTTGCTATAAAATAATATAAAAAATAAAAAAAATAAGTATTTAATTTTACATTTTTTATAAAAAAAAAATTGATGAATAATAAATTTTTGGAGAAAATCTTCCAAATAAATACATTTTTTGTATATTTAATTCCAAAAAAAAATTGTTTACCATATGTGTGTTTGTGACATGCCAATTTTGACTCGAGCTTAGATGTTTACATTTAAAATATATATATATATACACATATCAATTACATTATGTCATAAAGTATGTTTCTTTTTATAAGTTTGGGAAAATTTTGGATTGAGTTTGATATTAAAATAATATATAATGGAATATTTAAAATACAGAGAGTTCAAATAGTAAAAATTTGAGATTTGGTGACTAAAGAAACAAACTCATAATAACGAGCATACATTATTAAATTATAAATATTACTTTATCTTCCGTCCGCCTCAAATGATCACATTTATATTTTGCGTCGTTGTACTTAATATTAAAAATATCTTTATATTTGTATAATTTTTGGTACAAATGTCCTTCTACTAGTATTATAAGAAACTAATAAAAATATGTTTTAAATTTTTTCATAATTTGCATACATTTTGATATAATAATTAATATTTAAATATCAACATATAAAAAATAAATGTGATCCTTATAATCGGACGGATATAGTATATCATTACTAGGAGTGCTATTGATTTTAAATTTCTCAAATTTTAGTATCAAATTTAGTTTTTATATAAAAACATTATTAAAATACTTTTTCAATTGTACACCTCCACATAAGAGTAAGACATACTTCGTAGTTATATGTTGTTTGAATTTTATTGAGATGATAGTTTGTCTAAATATAAGTGAAACATATGGTCTTAATTACTACTATATCATAATCTTTATATATTTATTATTAATACAACTCAAAAAAAGTATTGTTGGTTCATGAAACATTTGCAACAATACTACTGCCTTCCCTTCGTCTCAGAACTAAACATTAGTATTATATTACTCCATTCGTCCCACAAACTATGTCCACGTTGCCGTTTCTGTCTGTCCCATATACTATGTCACTTTCCTTTTTTGGAAAATGATTATTCACTTTAATCTCATTTTAAAATTTTTAATTTTATTTTTTTAAAATTTTAATTAAATTAATTAGTTATCGTAATCTTAATTTATAATTATTTATATTATAGGATAATTATTTTCACTAATACATTCTTAATTATCTACTAATTATACCCCTCTTAAAATACGGTGTCTACAGTGTAACAGACACAGTATGTATTACATTTACAATCATACGAAAAAATGTATGATTGTAAATGTAATACTCCCTCCGTCCCATAACAAAGTATCCATTTTTCCATTTTAATCCGTCACATAACAAAGTATTCATTTTCCTTTTTAGTAACTGTACTATCTACTTAACATTACAAATACCCTTACAACTTACAATAAATTACACAAATGTCATTACTTTTATATCACACATACTAATAAAGTTATTTTAGTCGTTTCTACTTTATTCCTACTATATCATACTCCCTCCGTCCATACTAATTTGACAAATAATATTTGGTGTTATTACCATAAATCAACTCCCAACTTTATAGGAAATATAATTGCGTGTATTAAATAATCAACTTTCTACTAATTTAGTAATTAATATAAATGTCAATTTTACTATGCGCGATGATGTGTGATTGTTTTATGAAATAATTTTTTAAAAAAAAATTATGTAAAATATAGTAAATTATTTACGTAATATAAAAATGATAAATCTATGTATATATTAATTTTTTTGAAAAATTATATTTTAAAAAAATAATAATAAAACACAAAAAAAAAACACCCTACATGTAGATTATGATGTGGCATATTATGTATTAAGCTTTGTTCACATGTTTGCATTAAATTTAAAGATTTATATTTTGCCTTTTCATATTTTGTAGTTTTTTGCATTCTAAAGCGATAAAATAAAAGGATGTTGAAACATATGGAAATTAAAATATTCAAAATTAAGATATATTTAATAAGGAAACACAAACTTCCACCTTTTTAGTGTTATGCATCTTAGTTGAAAGTATGACATTAGTCCAATACAAGATGGACAGTGAATCAACATAATAAGCTTCATGCCAAAAAAATTGTAAACATTAATCATAAAGAAAAATGAAGAGAATGAAAACTATTACTCTATCTAAATTATTGATCAAATGGAGTTTGCTTGCTAGATTCTCCAGCCTATATTTAGATTTCGAAATTGTGTGTTTATATAGAATTGTTATATCTATAAATTTATATATATATATAAGAAATCAACAATATTTGATTTTTTTTTATAGAGTAAATGTTTGATCTTTCTATATGAAAAAGTCCCCTAATTATTTAGGCAGATGGATAAATGTTGGTTTCTTCATGCAACAACAAAGTCATTCTATTTTCAACAAACAGAGATAGGAGAGAGTCGGTCACTACAAAATGCAGCAGACCTGTGTAATTTGTCTTTATCTTATTTGTCCTTTCTTTTATGACCATACAAGAAATTAAAAAAAATATATAAATGAATATATAAGGGAAGGTCAAACCAAATCAGATATATGAAAACTCACTCCATCCTTTTTCAATCCAAAGAGAGAGAAATTAATGTGAGATTTTTTCATTTCAAGGTTGTATGGGATATACAACCGGATAGAGAAAAAAATGGTTGTAAATGTGTTTCAGAGTATACTTTTAGTGAGATAAAAGTTATGTGAAGTTCTCACCATTTATCCATATTGATTTTCCTCGATTCGATTTGCATGGGTGTTTAACACTAAAATTCGTTGGAGAGTTCGATACTGACCGGAGTTAAAGGAGTTGTAATCGAAGAAGATGATCAGGTTCTGAGCTGCTCGGCAATATGGTTGTTGTCAGTACACATTTGTGACAACGTAAACCTGTGGAAGTAGTTTCTAAAGTAAACCATAGTAGGAGTTTGAGTTGAAGGAGTTGTGATTGCTTATGTTTTGTAACTAGTGTTGATCAGTGGAATTTCTCCTGGATTGGAATTTCCCAAATGTACGTTAGTTCATAACCGAATCGGGTTACCAAATATATTGTCTTTTCTTTATTGTTTTTGAATTCTGCGTTTATTCTGTTGATGATGTGTTGTTTTAACCGTAAACTAACCACACTTCGGAAAATTGACCGTATTTGAAGTATTCGAAGGTGCATTGTTCGATCCATCACTTCCCAATAATTTTTATCGAAAAAAAATAAAACAAATGTTTATTAAATTACCAAATTTCCATCAATTTTGTAATCAATATCAATGTCAACTTCACCATGTTCGTGTGTTTTATAGAAATTTATATTATATTGGTTTAAATACTTCACCACGCCCGTATGTTTCATAAAATTTTATATTATATTGATTTAAATGCAAGTAACACTAGATGTAGATTGTATCAAATATTACATATCAAACTTCTTCACATGTTTATCCTAAATTTAAGGATTAATATTTTATCGTTTCATACATTTATATTTTTTGTGTATTATACAACAAAATGAGATGATGTTGAAACTTATAAAAAATAAGATATTCAAGTATAAGATGTGTTAAATGAAATATATACATTTATTATTTAGAACAAAAAAAAAAAGAAAAAAAAAAAGAAAAACTACTACTTATCTAAATCAATCACCAATGATTATGACTATATCATATCTTTATCTTCATAGCATCGTAATCAAAAGCGGTTTGCTCACTAAATTCTCTTATATTTATGTTTTGAAATAGTTTGTTGAATATTAAATTGATGTAATTTTTATACATTACAATAATAATTAATTTTCATTGGAAAAATAAAGTATACGAGTACTAAGGGTGTGTTTCTTTAAGGGGGTTTCGGAAAACTTGGATCTAGGTTTGATTTTTATTTGAATTTTGGGATGTGTTTGAATTTTATTGTTTTTTTTGTGTTTGGATTTGGTTGAGGTTTTGAGAGTTTTGACGTGTATTGATTTGATGGATAAGGAATAGAATAATATAAATATGTATTAAATTTAATTGATAAAATTTATACTGTATGATTTCATTATGAATTTATATTATACCCAACATATATATTTAAATTTTTATTTATTTGTGTTATAGAAAATTTTATTCTCTACAAAATCACATATATATATATTCCCTCCGTCCACAAAATAAGTATACATTTGCTTTTGGCGCGGAGATTAAGGAATAATAGTATTTTAATTATAGTGGGTAGGTAAAAGTAGTGAAATGATATTTTTGCCCTTACTTTTTTGGTATAAGAGTAATGATGTGATGTAAAGTAGGGGTATTTATGAAAAAAATGAGGTATTTAATGAAATGGTTACTTTGTAATTGGACGTCCCAAAATAGAAACATGTATACTTTCTAGCTGGACGGAGGGAGTATACTGTATGTATTTTTTTACGAATTAATATAAATGTCAATTTTATCATATATGTGTAGTTCATAGAAATATATATCGATCTAACTGCAAATCACACTACATGCAAATTATGTTGCATGTCACACATTAATTATCTTCACATACTTGCATTAAATTTGATGATCTATATTTTGTCCGTTCATACATTAATATTAATGCTAATTCTTAAGCGACAAAACAAGAATACATTGAAAACTTTCGAAAAAGAAGATATTCAAAGCCTAAGATATATTCAATATATAGTAAATTTACAAAAAAATTATATAAAAAAAAAAAAAGGAAAGATGACTATCTCAAAGGCCTCTTATTATTATCTCGACTATAGCTTCATAGCACGGCAATTAAAAGGCCGTATGCTTACTAGATTCTCCAACGGTAATATTTCAAAATATTGGGTTGAGTTGTATATGTTCCGTTTAAATATAGACATTTGGAGTTTTAAAATTTTAAAAATAATATTCCCTACGTCCCAATACAATAGTCTTATTTACTATTTTTGTTCGTCCTAAAACAATAGTCTCATTTTCATAAATAACCATATCACTATAAAACTACCCTTATTTTTTCATTATTATCACACAATTGTCACTACTTTTTACACTAATACATTCACAAGAGCAAAAGAGTTTTTTATCCGTAGTTTTTATTCACTACCAATATAATATCAATATTCTTTAAACCTCGTGTCAAATACATCCCAAACTATAGTTTTGGAACAGAGAGAGTAAAAAGAATTAGTATTTAAATCTTGCCAAAGTTTTCAGAGTTATTGTGTAAGTCTATATTTATAAATTATGTATTTTTTTCAATACTAATCAATTTTTATGAATAGTAAAAAAATATATTACTCTAATGTGTACAACCATACTTAGAAATTTTTTGAATAATTTTGAGTAAGATAATGCCAAATGACGCTTTTGGGACTGATCAAGAGTCGCCAACGTGCCCAAAAATGGGAAAGGACTAATCTGTCCAAGGCTGGAAACCTCGAATTATAAATTCAAGGTGATATTAATTTTATTACTTATCATAGTACTATCATTATTTTTTCATTCTTTTTTCTCCAATTAACGCATTAAATATTTAGGTATAATTAAGAACGTAATAAGTATTCCATGATATTTAGTTTTTTTTTTTTTTTTTAAAGATAAATACTCTCTTCCCTCCATTTTAAAGTATTATCAATTTTATTGTTTTTGTTCATTTCACTTCAAAGCATCTATTTTTTATTTTAGAAAGATAATAATACACTAATACTAAAATACATTTAATTTTTACTTAAATTACAAACGTATCATTATACATACATATCAAAATATCTTATACACTTTCACTGACCACTAAAATATTAGTCACTCTGTCCCCATAAGAAGAATACAATTTTCCATTTTTGTCCGTCATAAAATAAGGATACTATTTTCTTATTTAGTAATTGTACTACATACATAACATAATTAATATCATTACAACTTTCAATATATTATACGAATATCATTACTTTTATATCACACAATTTTATTGAGGTATGTTTGTTTTTTTTTACTATAAACCAATATAATATTAATATTAAAAAATCTACGTAAAAAAAGTAATAGTATTTTTTTTTTAATCTATTACAAGATCTTAAAAACCCATTTAAAATGGATAGGAGGGAGCATGATTTTTTAAAAAATTAAAAAATATTTAAAAAATAAATATTTTATGTAATATTTTATAATATAAAATATATATTTAATTTCATATTTTAAAAACATAAATTATGGAGTATTAAATTATATTAAAAGTCTAAAGAATATGAATTTATTAGTAGAGTTTAATTTTTCTTCATATCTATGTTATTTATTTATTTATGTTATGAATGCATTCAAATATCAATGCTAAAATCTGGAATAGAAAGAACGCAAGTGTTTGATACCCTTAGATCTAACCGTTCATTAGTTTCTTTATCAACGGCCTATATCCACAATCCGTGTCAATCGACCAAACCGCCGCTACTATATATATAACCTAATCATTAGGTTTCTTCTCCTGCAACCATCATCTTTCATTACGCGCAAAAACTCTTCGAGGTCAAGGAAATTGATATGGCTGGCCGAGGAAAGACACTGGGATCGGGATCGTCGAAGAAAGCGCAATCACGGAGCAGCAAGGCTGGCCTCCAGTTTCCTGTCGGTCGTATTGCTCGGTTTTTGAAGGCCGGAAAATACGCGGAGCGCGTCGGTGCCGGAGCTCCGGTTTACCTCGCTGCCGTCCTGGAATACCTCGCCGCCGAGGTAATCATCGTGCTTTCGAAGCTTTGATGCTAATTTCGTGAAATCTGATTTGATTGATTGCGAATCTAGGGTTCGGTGTTTCGATTCGTTTGGTAATCTTTCCGTGGATGTTTTGATTGTTTTATCTTCGAAATATTTATCGTAATTGTTCTGTGGCCAGATCTCTTTCCAAATCTGACACGATATAGAATTGTGGCGTGAATTAACTCCCTCGATTCAAAACATTGATGTAGATGAACATTATATTTTGTAAAAAGTTGAGAAAAATTAAATTCCCCCAATTTCTAGGGTTTGGAATTAAATTGAATTGAATTGTATCAGGTGCTGGAATTGGCCGGAAACGCGGCTAGGGACAACAAAAAGACTCGAATAGTGCCTCGGCACATCCAATTGGCGGTTAGGAACGATGAAGAGCTGAGCAAACTCCTCGGAGACGTGACGATTGCTAATGGAGGAGTGATGCCGAACATCCACAATCTGTTGCTTCCGAAGAAGGTTGGTGGTTCATCGAAGGCCTCTGCAAACGACGACGATTAGATTGACTGCCTTCCGCCATTGTTGATGATGGTCTTACAGTTCGTTATCTGTTAGTGGTATTTAGTGTTCTATTATTGTCAGGTCAGAGGATTGGGGGTGAGAATATGTAAATTATAAAACTCGAATGAACGGAGGAGTTTCTTTCTTGCCTATTTGATTTATTTGTCTTTCTTCATAATTATATTGACAGTTGATACACGATACTCTCTGACTTCTCATTAGAGCAATAGTTTTGAAGTAATTATTTTAATAGTATGGCAATGATAATAAATTTAGGTTGTCTTTTTTTATTTTTAAATCTATTCTTTTTGTATCATATCTTTGCTGTGGTTTCAGTTCATTTTACATTTTATATACTCCCTCCGTTCAAGCTAAAAATATACAATTACTTTTACGCAGAGAAGAGATTAAGGAATAATAGTATTTTAATTATAGTGGGTAGGTAAAAGTAGTAAAATGATATTTTTGCCTTTACTTTTTTGGTATAAAAGTAGCGATGTGATGTAAAGTAGGGGTATTTGTGGAAAAATGGGGTATTTAATGAAATGGTTACTTTGTAATTGGACGTCCCAAAAAAGAAATATGTATACTTTCTAACTGGACGAAGGGAGTACTAAATGTTTAGGTTTTAAAAATTTCCTCTATTTTTTATTAGGTTCCGTTGTTGTAAGAGTTCAGTAAACAAAAATTAAATTTGACTCTTACAACTATTTTTTTAAAAAGAAATTATATTGTAGTTATAAGTGACGAATAATGAAAAATTTTAAAATACTCATATTAATATTGTGTAATGTAAACATAATAATAACGAAGAAATGATACCTTGTTTTAAAAATATTTATACAATTATTAAATTAAAAAATGATACCTGTTTTGAAAAAATATATTAGAATATTTCTTTTATGAAGAGAGAGTAATTAAATTTTAGCATTATTTTTTTAATATTTATTTACAATAAATTTATTAATTTTGATATCTTCTTGTTTTCTTTTTTGTTTTTTCTAAAAAAAATTACTATCTAAAATTCAAATAATATTTCCAATTGTTAGTTTTTTTTATGTTTTTCACCTTTTAAATAAGTATTTATTTTTATCAAATAAAGAGAGTATTTTTTTTATAAAATATTATTTAAATATAAAATTTGTCAATATTTTTATGCTAATACAAAAAAAAAAAAAATACACTTTTCTGAATTTTCCAACTTTTATTTTTTGCTATAAATGCTACTCAACTTGCATGGCATCCGGGAACAAGGGTGCAGTCCAAGTAGCAATCTATTTTTGGCTTTCTTAATTAAAATTATTGAAAATCAATTTTAGATCCCTAAATCAATTTAGAATTGAGGAATCAATTCAAATGCCTTAAATCACAAATTGCAAAATTTGAGATTATATAACGGAGGCTTAGGAATGAGGATCCCAAGTTTATTTAGCAACTTCTGTATCCATAAGACTTCAAAAGAAGTACTAGCTAGTGTGAAATATTTTGCTTCAATTGAAGAGCGATGCTTAGAAGACTTTCCGAAAACAACATTGCACCAAAAATAAATCACATGAGCAATAGTAAAATGATCATTATCATGTACACCCCCTAGTCTGAATTCAACGTAAAAAGACAAACCATGAAATAAGGTATCTTCAGGTATTGAAAAACCAATGAAAAATTGTTGGACTATACATATACAGAGAAAATTTATTCACTGCAAAGAAAATATTATGCACGTAATATTGAGATATTGTAAACGACCAATAAGAGCCCCATAAAGTATGGCATCATCGGCAAATATATAATTGTCGGATGACAATACAAAATTGGAACACATAGGATATGAACTCTTGGATTTTATATTGATTCAGGAAGGAAGAATTTAAAGAGTACAATTCCATAAAATGGGGGTAGAAATTACAACAAAGCCTAAAGAATAACTATAAAGATGTATGACTAATTCAAATACAATTCAAAATAATTCAAATATTGTTTATACTCCAGCTTTTTGTAACATCGGCCGTTGTCTTATAAAAACGAATGAAAGAATGTTGAAAGCTCATGAGGAATCCAATCTATCGAAAATGGTAAACAAGTACCATAAAATGGAGATGTTTAAACACCTTTAATGGTTGTCATCGGACAACGACATGTTTTGTTTTACATGTATGATATCCCAACTGCTTCTTTGCCTAAATTCATTGATAATTTAGAGAATATATTCTCTACCTACAAGTGTAAATTATTCTAGAGAATAAAAAAGCAATACTGTAAATAGTAACACTTTTGTGGTGATAAATTATGTCAAAGGAACTACGAGTTTTTGAGAAATCAAACATTGCAAAGCTCGCTTGTAGCGAAGGTCTAAACTCAAAATTATGGTATTAACTATAAGGAATTTTTTGCTTAAGTTGCTCAACTACTTATCTTCATTCGGTGTGTACATGCGATTATTTCCGTTCGTCTGTAGTCACTTTTTAGTTGAATGTCAAAATGGTTTTCTTGCATGGAGATTTGACCAATGATGTCTACATGAGTCCTACCAAGAGTATTGAAACTTCCGGTAAAGTATGTAATTTGCGTCGGACTCTATATAGTTTGAAATATGCACTCCGTGCTTGGTTCGCCAAGTTTAGTTATGCCCTTATCGGTATGACTTCTTTCTTAGTGCTCATGACTCTACTCCTTTTATTCATCGGAGTTCCTTTGGGATTATTATTATTTGGGTAAACTGTTTTTTAGTCCCGTAACTGGACCCTTTTATCATTTTAGTCTCGTAAGTGGAGCCTATCGCAAATTAGTCCCATAAGTGGAAAATTTTCGTTGTTTTAGTCCTCCGGTGCCGGAGATGTACGCATGACTCGCCGGAGGTGACGTGTCCGCCAGGTCAGTGACACCTGGCGGACACGTGGATTTATTATTTTTTTTCATTTTTTTTTAATTTTTTTAATTTTTTTAAAAAATTGGACTAAATAAAAAAAATAAAAAAATACAAATAAAATTAAAAATAAATTAAAAATAAGTTTTTAAAAAAATTAAAAAATGAAAAAAAAAAATTCACGTGCCGCCAGGTGTCGTTGACCTGGCGGACACATCACCTCCGGCGAGCCACGCGGGTGTCTCCGGCGCCGAAGGACTAAAACAATGAAAAGTTCACTTATGAGACTAGTTTGCGACATGCTCCACTTACGAGACTAAAATGATAAAGGGGTCCAGTTACGAGACTAAAAAGACAGTTTACCTTTATTATTTTTATTATACGTTGATATGATCGTCGTTAAGGACGAAATTTTTGGTATTTTTTAATTACAAGTATATACATTCGCTAGCAATTCGATAGGAAGATTCTTGGTCATCTATGATACTTTTTTAGAGTTGAGATTTTTTCCGACAATTATGATGGCTTCTTCTTATCTCAGACCAAGTATGCATATGATTTTATTTTTCGTGTTGGCTTAGCAGGATGACCTCCATACCTTTTATGGCAAATAGTCGCCTTAACCTTCGGATTGACTCTTTGCTTCATGGTTCGATTCTTTATCATCATCTGGTTGAATTCTTGATTTATCTCACAATATCTCGTCTTGACATAACTCATGTTATAGATATTGTTTGTCAGTTGTTGTTTGCTCCATGAAATGCACATTATTCTGCAGTACTTTCTATATTCTTTGATTTTATAAGTATTATTAAAAAATATTTTGATATTTTGTAAAAAAGTTAAAATATTTATTATTATTTTTGAATTTTTTTCTTTTAAATAATAAATATTTAATACTTCCACATTTCTCATATTTTTCCTTTTAATAAATTGATCAATATTAAATACATTTAATAAATATAAATCAATATAATTAAATTTTTGATATTATATTTAAAATACTTTTTATTTCTATATCTTCTCCATCAATTTAATTAAAATTTTAATATTTTACATATAAATTCACTAATTTTTTTTATTTAAACAAAATAATATTTATATTTCTGTTTAAAATATTTAAATATATATATTTATTTTTTTAATTATATATATTAATTTTAATTTTTAAAATATCAATACTATAAGTTATATAGAATTCAATTTAATAATCTACTATTTTTAACTTATTAAATTATTAGAGACTACTAATAAAACGTATCGAGATAAATTAATACTCCTCTCGTCTCACATAATTTATTTTTATTTTTTATTTTTGTTCGTTCTACATAATTCGTCTTTTTATTTTTTTAGAAATATAATTATACATTTTAATTATATTTTAAATTTATATTTTAATTTTAATTAAACTATTTAGTTATTTTAATTATAATTTATAATTATTTTTACTATATAATAATTAATTTTATTAATATATTTTTTAATTACTTATTAATCATATTTTATCTTAATTCCATGTTCAAATCACAAGAGTATGATATTATGAAGTGTCAACACAAGCCTCAGTCACATTATGAAACGCTGTGGTGGAAATATTTCAATAATTTAAAAAATATATAGATATATTTCAATAAAATATTTTGTATGCAGAATGACGCTTTTGACACTGCTCAAGGTTGCGAGCGAGCACAAACTAGCGGGAAATAAGTAAAGGGTCTAAGGGTAGAAACGTCAAATCATATGAAACTAGTATTTTATTATTTTTTTTTATGTATTCTGATGAATCCGTTCAATACTTTATGGGAGTAAAAAAGAACGCCAGTCTTCGGTAGCTCTTAAAATCTAGCCGTCCATTCATTTGGTTATCAACGGCCTGTATTGACAATCCGCTTGCTTTCGTCCAACCAGCTACTATATATATAACCTAATCAAGAGGTTGTTTTCCATTCGGCGCATATCCTTCATTCGGCGCAGTTGCACTGGTTTTTGGAGGTTAGAAAAATTGATATGGCGGGCCGAGGCAAGACACTGGGATCAGGATCGGCGAAGAAAGCGCAATCACGGAGCAGCAAGGCTGGGCTTCAGTTTCCGGTCGGTCGTATTGCTCGGTTTTTGAAGGCCGGAAAATACGCAGAGCGCGTCGGTGCCGGAGCGCCGGTGTATCTCGCAGCGGTCCTGGAATACCTCGCCGCCGAGGTAGTTTTCGTGCTTAAAGAATTTCATTCCGGTTTTGTGAAATCTAATTTTATGGTTTACGGATCTAGGGTTCTGGATCTCGATTCGTTTGTTAATTTTCTCGTCGGTTTCTCTTCGAACGATTTAATTCATACGGTGATACTTGCCTTATTCTATGCTCTTGGAATTGCTCTCCTCGAACGATTGAATTGCTATGTTGATAGTTGCCGAATTCTTTGTTCGTTGTTGGGAATTCCTTCGCTAGATCTCGTTTCCGTAAACACAACTCACAAATCTAGATTTGTGATTCTGATGCGAACGAATTCCTTGATCCAAACCGACAATCGTGATGAGCGTCGATTTAATTTTATTTCCAAAAAAGTAGAAACCGGTAAATCCGTAAATTTCTAGGGTTTGAAACAATTTTGAATTGAATTGAAACAGGTGCTGGAATTGGCTGGAAATGCTGCAAGGGACAACAAAAAGACTCGAATCGTGCCTAGGCACATCCAGCTAGCAGTTAGGAACGACGAAGAACTGAGCAAGCTTTTGGGAGATGTGACAATTGCGAATGGAGGAGTGATGCCGAACATCCACAATCTGCTACTGCCGAAGAAGGTTGGTGGCTCGTCCAAACCCACTGCAGAAGACGACGACTAGACCCACCACACTGCAACTCGTAATTTCTTCAATTAATGGTGTTTCTTGATTGAGGTAGTGCTGTTTAGTTTCTATTTTGTTGTTGCCATAGGAAAAACAGATTTGCTGAGGTGTGTAAGTAACAGTGAAGTGAATGAATGGATTCGAATTTGCTGCCCATTTCGTTCGTGATTGGATTTTGATGTCCTAAAATTTTTTAGTTTTTTGGGGTTGAAGGTGAAATTTACCTGCCCGTTGGGCTTAGGCCATCTTCAGCCTTACATTCTATTCAGTAATTTTTATCAAACCACTAATTTTAATTTTTACTCTAAAAAAATATATTTCTTTAATATTATTTTATATAATTTTTTATATTTATAAATTATACTTTGATTTTAATTTATTTTTACATTAGATTAATACACATATAATTTATATTTTATTTAAAAATTATATATATAAAAATTAATATTTATAATGAATAATTATTACAAATAAAATAATTTTAAATAAATAATTAAATGCTATAAAAAACAAATATAATACTTCATCCATTTCATTAGGGTAAAAATGTTATTACACTAATAACATAATATTATTATTTCATAATAATTTATCACAAAAATATACATTACAATTATTTTAAAAAAAATAAAAATTATATCATTTTTCAAAAGTAAAATTATATATCAATTTAAAAAAAAAATTATACATTATTTTTTTTAAAAAATTATATATTATTTTTCAAAAACTAAAATTATATATCACTTTAAAAAAATAAAAGTACATACAATTTTTTAAAATATAAAATTATATACTCCCACCGTCCCAAAAATTTGTCTGTATTTTCTTATTTAGTAGCGTAGCTGTGGTTCCCACTTTATAACAAAATTATTTATATTTTTCCATACTACCCCTAATTATTATTCTAACATAGTCTTTAAACCGGCGTTTTAGTCATTTACATTCTACTTTATATCCATTTTCAATTAAATACTGTTATTCCTTAATTCTCTCGTCTTTATGTATATCAATTGTACCACATATTAATACTAATATACGATAAAAAATTAAATTTAAATAATTATTTGACAAGATTGATGAGATAATTTGAATATAAAAAGAATAATTATTAAATTTAATATTTTTAGAAAAAAAAAAAAATTATCACAAATGAACACAACCTAAGATATCATAAAAAAAAACAAGCTATATTATCAGATGAAATTAAACATTCCTCAAATTAATTATTTCGAATAAATATTCTAAAATAAAGCAGGAGCTACGGTTTCAGTATTACCCAGACACACGTAAATAACAAGATTTTAAAAAATAATAATAATATTATTATTAATCAAATCTAAATATAAAATAACACAAAGGCAAGGAAGAAGAAGAAGATACAGACAATAAAGAATCATTTAAAGAAGAGACCTGTAAAATTCCTACACTGATTCCAGTTCAAGCTCCAACGTAGGCTCCTCCATCTCCTACTTATGTCTTCTCTTGTCTTCATCGGAGCAACATAAAAATAATGTCTGCATCTCTACAGTCCTAAGCTTCGTCTTCGTCCGAACTCGAAGTATCTATCCGTCTGTCGACAATGGCAGGGAACAATCGTTGCCGAAGATCCATCGGCGCAACCTGCGGAGGAGTCGAGGCAGCACCACCATCTTTTGTCGGAGGCCTGCTCGGCTTCAGAGGATTACTTCTGACTTCCTTACATACCTTGTCCAAAATCAAAAGAAAGTCGCGGACGACGATGAACAATCTCAATCCCTCGTCCTTCCCGGAATTTCCATGGAAGTAGTCAGCGGTGTTCTTCACCAATGCCATAATCCTCTTCTCCTCCTCGATCGCCCAGGCCACGTCAATCTCAGCGTTCTGCACGAAGTTCTTCAGAGTTTGATGGAATCCGTCTTCTTTTGCTGTGTTCTTCATATCCAAATTGAGGAATTCCCGGACTTTAACGAGCTCGTGGCCGAGCCTGGCGACCGTTCCCGTTATGCTATCAGCATCTAGAATTGCGGCTTTCTTTACATTGTCGAGCTCGTTACCTAAACCGGAGACCACTTGCAGACCAATGCTTCTTAGCTGTTCGTCTGAATCCAGGTCGGAGTCTTTGGGCAAATTGCCGGCCGCCTCTTTGGCTGTTCGGGCAGCTTTCTTGCCTTCCGATCGGATTATTTCCTGAACAACAAAGTGCAGCAGCGTAGTCTTCCCGTCGGTTCCTTTCACATCGGATAATTTCAGAAGGGTGTCGAGCTTAAACGCCTGTGCACCGCCGCGGAATGTGCCATCGTTCATACGATTCCCGGTTTTAAGAACAGCCTCGAGTAGTTTGAGAAACAACCTGCTTTTTCGCAACTCCATGCAGGCAGCCTGGACAAGGAGACATAACATATTCCGATAATTTTAAGATTGTACATTAGGACATCTCGGCGGATATTTAAGTGTAAGGTCTAACCTCCAGGGTAGCAAAAGACTCCTTTAGCATGGTTGTCTCCTCCTGAAGAGTGCCCATGAAAAGTAACGACTCTAGCCTCTTAAACGAGGACGGGATATCAACCAAGACTTTCAAAAATCGCTCGGCAGGACCTAATTGAGAAAGCTCGCCGGTGTACAGTCTCAACTTTAATTCTTCATCAGATGTAGGTGCCATTTTTAATAATGTTTGAACAAGTTCCGGAGAAAGCTCATTCCCTGAATGAATAGAGGAAGTTAGCAGTGTAATTTTATGATCAAATTAACTACCATGATAACAGAACAATTCGTGTTCCAAGCACGGGCATGTCAAGAATAATCCTAACAAATGTTCTTGACCATCGATCAAGCAAATTCCCATCTCATCTTCCACAAATTAGATGTTTATAGTTCACTTAATTATTTTCGAAGAATCTATCAACATAAACAATACAAAGAAACAATGATGTTGAAGATAAAGAGTTACTCTATCCCTAAATTTGCTCTTAACTCTGATAGAGACATTTAAATTCACCTAACGTATCGATCATTATTTGTAGGGTATATATGTCCGGAACAAGAACATATGAAAGCTTAATTCCAGGTAAATAAAAAACACATTACCTTCTACCAATGCATCGCATACTTCTTCCGTAGTCACGTTTAATGCCTTAAGTAAAATAGCTATATTTTGTGACTTCTTGGGATCAATTATCTGAATATATTGTGGCGGAACATCTTGGGATGACGATTCTTTCTTTGCATCGTTTTTGTTTTTCGCTGCAGGAGCATAGCCGAAGAGACTTTCTATCATCTCTTCATTGAACCTGCAAACAAAGACTCTCTATAAGCTATTTCGTGCATGGAAATAGTAAAGAATATCAATGATTACAGGGAAGTTAAGACTTACTGGAACGACCCGGACTTAATCTGATGCCAAACCATTGAATGGTCAGGATTGGCCAATACCTTGTCCCAGAAGAAGGGTTTCAGCTTAGCTTTAGAAGCACCGGCTTCAGTCTCCTCAACTGAAGTAGAAGTTGAGGGAGGACGAGGTCCAGGAGGCGCAGGTCGAGGGGGTCTCAACCCAATAGGTGGTGGCTGAGGTGGAGGTGGACCGGCTTTTGGAGGCGGAGGTGGCGGTGGACCAGCTCTAGGAGGTGGTGGCGGTGCAGCACCAGCCTTAATACTAGGAGGTGGAGGAGGTCCAGGCGGCAGAGCATGTGCGCCAGCAGAAGAAGCATTAGCAGGCGACACTGAGGGTGCCGGGGCATCTGCCGGAGGCGGTGGAGGAGGTGCAGCATTGCCAGATGGATTAGGAGAATCGACTCTACCAGGAAGTGGTTTTTGAGGAATCACTGTTCCGGGAGGTGGTTTAGGAGCATTTGTTCTTCCTGGAGGTGGTTTGGGAGGTCCTGTTCGACCAGGGGGTGGTTTAAGATGGCTTGTTCTTCCAGGAGGAGGCTTCAATGGAGGCAATCCAGGTCGGCTCCACATGCCAGGCGGCATTTGCGAAGAATCTTCCACTTTGTTAGCGGCAATTGCAGCACTTGTTTCAATTTTCGAACTGCTCAGCGACTGAGATTCCACGTAGAAGCTCCCATTAACATTGTTATGGTTCAATTTATTCTGAACTGACTGGTTATGCGGCTTTTCTTCATTCCCTGAAGCTCCATGTCCGTAAGAAGAAGCTGAGTGAATCAAGAACAATATACAGAAAAGACTTAAAACGTGCAACTTGCAAGAGCTTAGAAAACAGGTGACGGTAATGAGAAAGTAGAAGGATTTTGTACCGATTGAATAGTCATTTAAGCTTAAGCTGAGGAGAGGCCTCTCATCATTTCTTCCTCGCCGGAAACCATTCCCACAGCATCGGCGCCAGAATATAAAGAGCAGTGCAGCAATGAAAAATGTCAGAGAAGCAGTTACCACAACAGCAATAACAACAGTTCTCTTGCTGGTCTTGTGCCGGCTTGACGAATCATTGGAATCAGTCCGGGAAGTTTGTTCGCCAGAATTAGGCTGCACATTTGGATGGAAAAATGGAAATGGTAGAGGAGGACTGGTCGGTTGCTCGGTAGGGGCTTGGGGAACTGAATGTGCTGGGGCGGGTGATAAAGCAGTTGGGGCGGGAGCAGGTGCTTCGCCAGGGGATTCAGACAATATGCGCCGTGCTGACGGCTGCCGTTTAAATAGAAACCTCATATATCTGGTGTACCAAGTTTCTACGCCCTTCTCTTCGCCGTTATCAAGCATGTTATTCTTTCTTTTTACACAATCTATAAGAATGTTGTTAATTTGAGGAAGCAATGCATCGACTAAATCATACTTCTTCGATCCATACAGTCCACCCGAGCTCTGCTCCATGAACTGTAATTCAAGGTCTTGCAATGTAATCTTGGAGTGTACAAACTTAGGAGTACAGTCATTCTGTAATAATTCAACCTGCCATAAGAAATTCTTTGAATTATAAACTACAATCAAGATTGCAGCATACATTGGAGGTACAAATAAAAAAAACAAAAATAAAATGTCGAATCTCTACTTCAGTATAAGCAAACACTACACTACACAATTGGTTTGCCATAAACACAAACTCTAAAGCTCATAATACTTCAAATACATCCCTCCCAACAATCTTGTAACTAGTGGATAGTTCCCAATGTTCATAGCTTTCAACAATGCATCCATGGCAGCATTCAAAGAACCAAAAAACAAAGGAAAAATCACTTTACCTAAATCATATCAATTGAGTTCAAAACAAATACTAAAATCCCCATAGCATTGCGAATCATTGGGGGGACTAAAATCTATTCCGGAAATGCAAAAAAGTCGATCAATCCCTAAATCTGAAACAAGAGAAAAGAGAAAAATACCATTTCCTGATTAATAGCCCCTGACTCCAACAAGTACACCAACAAAGGCTCTGGCTCCTTCAACCTGCTACTTTCCCCACAGCTCAAAAGCATCGCGAAAAGCAGAACGACAGAAGCAACGCAGTACAGAACTCTCTCCCCCTGAATCCTCATCTTGCAAAAAGTGCAGAATACTTCTTCTCATACCATGAGACCCACGCCCAATCGAAGTAGCAGCAATAGCCCCCTATTATTCCCCTCAACTGCCCCGACCGAATCCAATACCCCCCAGCACAACCTCCAATGATTTTGACTTCAACAGCGAACTGGATTGACCTTCAGAATAACTCCACGAAAAAGCCCTAATAACATTCAAAGAACGGTTGAGGACGACGCCAGAGAACTGCACAAACCAAAAGAGCAGATACAAAACCGATAAATTGGATCATCCATACAACGACAGATTCCAGAATAAGGAGAGACAGAAACGCACTCCGCGGTATTGCTTGTTAACATCAGATCCGCAATAGAACTTAAAAAAAATTACTGGAAATTTACCAATTGGGGTAGCAATAGCAATAGCAATAGCGCGTCAGCTGACCAAGAAAGTTCTTCCGGATGAAAAAGTGTAAATGGCTTTTCTTCATCGCGTCTGCCTGAGCTGTGCTGACAAAATATTACTACTAATTTTTTATTTTTTATTTTTTTATTTTTAATTTGTGATGTTACTTGCACCCGGTCAATGGAATTTCCAGCCGGTTTTCATTTTTATTATTATTCCAGAATTTTATTAATTTATTTATTATTTTTCTTACATGCCAAGTAGCCGTTACTTGACTGGGGTTGATTTGGCTGTATTCATATTCTTTTAATTTTGTTAAAATATATACAATAATTATTTACAAATTGCAAAAACTATTTCGTAAATTGCAAATTTTGTTTTCGTAATGCATCTACCATTTCGTTTTTCAGTAAAAATTTTCCAGACTTGTTTAGGAAATCTTCTTTATATATTTTTTTAAATGAGAAATAAATTAAATATACCTATAAATATAATGGAAAGAACATTTTTTTTTTGGATGAATGCAACAACAATCACTTTTTATTACTCCATCGGGACGCATTACTATATATACGAGAATCTAGTTAAAATATAATTAGTAAATAATTAAAAAATATATTAGTAAAAATAATTATTATTTAGTAAAAATAATTATAGATTAATATTAAGATAATTAAATAGTTTAACTAAGATTAAAAAAAATTTTAAATTTTAAATTTTAAAATATTATTAAAATGTATAATCATTTTTTTTTTAAAAAAAAAAACAAATTATGTGAAACAGACAAAATAGAAAATAGAGACAAATTATGTGGAGGGAGAGAGTATTTATTACTAACATATATATTATAGCTGTGAATCCAATCTTGGAACTATTCTCATTAGCATCTAGATTTTCATATATTCTTTCTTTAATATAATATGATGATAAAATATATTCCTGTGTATAGACGAAAATTTTAATTTAAAAATCATATCGAAAGCTCTGCTTCTATTTTTTATTTGACTATTTATTAACATTAGTTTTATAAATATTATTAAATACTTTTATTTTAGCAAAATATTATATCAAATATTTATTTATTTATTATATTTTTAAATTCCAACATAATGTTTGTTCGTGGATTTAATTTTTGAATTTAAATTTTTAAATGGTAAATATATAAATATAAATAATTATTTAATATAATATAAATATATATTAATATGATAACATTTCATGAAATAATACGGCCCAAAACTTGTACCTTAATGAAGCAAATTTTTGTTGATGCATTTATATAATATATTTATGACTTATAAATGATGTTGGAAGAAATAAACTCAATTTCTGCATTGAAAAAGTTAGTCTTTGTTTTTTTAATCTAAACTTTTTTGACACATTTTTTTAAAAATAATAATAATATATTATGAACACTCATTATTTTTATATTATCTACACAATTCTGCTTCAGGTAAAATATAACTTTGTAAACCAAAACACAAAAATAACACACCTAAAAAATCAATTGGTATTGAAAGTCTTCCTGATCAAATGAAATATCACTTGAGTGGAGGCCAAAACTTATTTAACCAACACACTTTCACTCATTTGATAGTATTTATTTTTCAAAAAATATCACATTAAATACACTTTTTATCTCACAAAATATTAAATTAAATACTAATTTTTTATTTTTTTTAAAAAATTTTCAAATTTCCAAAAACCTTGTAAACAAACTGTTCCTGTCATAAGTATATGTTATATTTTTCTTACTTGAGCTCCCTATCTCAACGCGCATTCATAAGGCATAAGATGTTCCCTTGCATGATCATAATCGAATTTTGGTGTGACATTATTGTTAGTTGGATAGAATCTAAATATTGCATCCTCAACAAAATACTATTTTATGTGGACAATTTTAAAATTTTTTGGGTATGATTGTTTTGTGACATGATTTGAAAAAATATATATATTTTTTATATGAAGCATAGAAAAATAGATAAGTAATATAAATATAATGAATATGTTTAATATATTAAATATTTTTGAAATATAGATAAGTAATAATAATAATAAATAAATATAAAAAAACGCAATATAATACAAATAATTAATTTATACATTATAATTAAATTAAAATTTAAAAATATACTTTAAAAAATATAGATTTTTAATTATGTTATACAGTATAATTTAAAATTTTAATTATGATTATAAAATATTTTTAAAATAAATTATAATGTATAATTAAATTTGAACATAATTAAATTAAAATTTATTTTTAATTTATATATCATATTTAAACTCAAATCAAAAAATATAATTCACATAGTAAATCTAATATACATATTAATAATTATATTTGTTAACTAAATTTTTTAAATTTTAAAATAAATTATAAAAATTTAGTATAATAATACATTTACATGTCATTTTCATAATTTTAATTTTTTAATAACACTTTTTAATTTTATTATATTTCAAATATATATATATATATAAATATTAATTTGCTTTTGTAATACTCCATCCACAAACTAATGTCATATTTTTCTATTTGGGACGTGTCCAACAACTATTGTCTTTTTTTTTTAAACACAAATTTTACATTTTTTTTTTCTTCAATTCATTTATTATTTTTACAGGCAAATCTGTCAATTCATTAAAAAAAAAAAAAAACTAAATATACTTTAGGATAATAGAAATTGTACATAGGGACTAATACATTTAAATACAAAATCAATTGTTTATAACTTTTGTTCCTATTTTTACTTCTATAGTTTAATTTCTACGCACTTTTGGTGTGATTAGATCACATCCATCATCAATATGCATATCCAATCCCAACCTTTTGTCTTTTTTTCCCTAAATTATCTCAAACAAAACCCCAATCTCTCTCTCTCTCTCTCTCTCTCTCTCTCTCTCTCTCTCTCTCTCTCTCTCTCTCTCTATATATATATAAAACCCTAACTGTCATTACTCATATATCAATCATCTTCTCCTTTCACAATCTCCCTCTGATCTCTCAAGTCTCAACAATGTCAGCATCATCTCCAGAGCTTCCCTGGGACATCATCTACTATATCTCAACTCGAATTTCAGATTTACAAACCTTAGACACATGTAAAGCTGTTTCCAAACAATGGAACGAGATTTTACAAGACCCTAATTTCAAGATCGTTCACTCCAAATCTACTGGCGTGATCTCGTCGGCCTTCATCATCCAGATGTGTAACTACTCCTGGAACACTCCGGCATTGAAATCAATTCATTCACCGCCGTCGTCGTCGCCGTCGCCGTCCATCTGGCTACTGAACCATGGGATTGTGATATTGGCATCCTGCAACCAAGGACTTCTACTGTACGGCGAAAGACATAAACAGTATTTCTCTGAGTTTTATTACCATGTCTGCAAACCAGCCACCGGACAGTGGTTGAATTTGCCCGATCCCGATGTCGATCGCCCCACTATAGGATTGGCCATTGCCGCTTTCGGTTCGAATCCTCTACGCTTCAAGATTGTTAGGGTTTCCCAGATTGGACCAACAAAGTGAGTTTTTAATTAATTTTTATTTATTTCTTTTGGCCCCGTGCTGAATGTAAAATTAAATTCCACTTATAACCCACAATATATTTTAATATAATAAAAGTACAATACATAACCTAACAATATATAATATAATCTCACACAATACATAAAATAGTTGATTTTAGTCAATTACATAAAAGACACACTATAATTATGAACATAAAGACATGTTGTCTTTATTTTATATGTGTTGATTTGATCGGTACTTATTTTTTAAATTCAGCGCCGTATCCTTCCCTATTATTTTTTAACAAAAAAATTGTTTTAATATTGCACGAAGTTTGGGGATATGGTGCAAACTTTTTCAAGGGCATTAGGGTTATAAGCAATTTTGCTTTATTTATTTTTTGTTTACATTGATTGAATAAACATAACCTCGTTTATTTTGTTTGTGACTTTCTTGATTTACAAATTTCCATTCATTTAGGTCGTCGGGTGTTGAATTACAGTGTGAATTGTTCGATTCAAAGCTATGGGCTTGGAGAAAATTGCAAAATTTAGTCCCACCACCGAAATTTGATTATATGGCTCCATCAATCTTTGTTGAAGGTTCTTTCCATTGGGTTACTCTTGATAACAACATTGTCGCCTTCCACGTGGCCACGGAGTCTTTTCGCACGTTCGGTATGCCCAAGTCGATGAAGTTTGGACAAAATTATCCAATTTTTAAGCCGAGAAGGCTCATGGACTTCCAAGGGAAACTTGGATTGAGCTGCACAGCAAATGGTAATAAGGTCGAGCTATGGTTGTTAATGAAGGGTGTTTGGAAGAGGCATCTGGTTGTCGATCTTGGAAGATTCAAAGAGTTGGAGAAAAGTGAATTGATCGGATTTTACGACATTGGAGTTGTGTTGTTGAAGACATCATCGGAATTGATTTTTCTTAGGATTCGAGACAACACTCTTGAAAAAGTTAAGTTGGATTCTTCAGAGTGGCCAGTAACACACATATTTCAATTTAGATCTGATTTTAAGAGGGTAAAATTTTGAAAGGGTTAAATATTTTATTAGTATATATTACATGAATTTATATCATGTGATGATATTAATGGCATTGTATTTGATATAAACTATTGTCGTATATTGTTAGTTCGGCAGTTGTATTACTCTATACCGTATACTATTGACTTATGATATGTATTGTCCGTCCATATTGGTTGTAGTGGTACGAATATTGTACATTCATCAAGTCAAATTATTGATATGTAATTTGGTAACTAAGCAAAGCACTACTTCCTTTGTCCTTAATTTGTTGCATTATCAAATATAGTCTCATTTATTACATAATCTTCTTAGAATCTGGATTATGGTGAACTTAATTCATCAAAGTCAAGCATACAAAATATAGATACATATATATACACTAACTATTGACATTCCATATTGCAATGAGTTCCCCAATGCAGGTCGTCCTTAATTGTACCCATATAATAATGTCAACAAATTTATTCGAATATTTTTACATGAAGAGGGGGAGACATCCCATATCAAATGATTTAAACTTAGATGATTTATTTTATTTTACCAATCCCTTAGAAACATTATTCATTACTGATTTAATATATTGATCTTATCGTTAGAAGCAAGATTTTTGCACATTTGAGTTCCAAACCCTTACAGTATATTGTTACATTATATATCTCGTAAGAAAATTGATTTTATTTAACAGTAATTTCCAGCATAGCTTCCTTGAGAGAGCCTCAACAATAGCTATATATTTAAATTTGGTAGTACATAAAGCAAAAATATAATGTAATTGCAATCTTCAACTAATGCATAAAAGATACTCCCCCGTCCCAAAAGTTTTGTCTTGTTTTTCCATTTTCCTCTGTCCCAAAACAATTGTTTTGCTTCCTTATTATTTAGTAGTCGTAGTCCCCACTTTATAACAAAATTATTCTTACTTTTCTATACTACCATTAATTATTACTCTAATATACTCTTTAAAATCCTTCAAAAAGTAAGGGCATTTTAGTCATTTACATTATACTTTATACCCACTTTCAATTAAATACTATTATTCTTTAATTCCCGTGTCAACTCTTAATAAGACACTTCTTTTGGGACAGAGGGAGTATAAGACAAACATATAGAATGGCAGTAAATTGTCTACTATATTTATCATCATGCATATAATTCAAATCTACGTAGTCTAGTAGTTTAATTATCGTAAGACTTACTAAAATTTAACTTAAAGCACATTGTTACGTACAAAAAAATAATAATAATAAAAAATAAGGATAGCAGGATTTTAAAGAAAGTTAGATTTGAAGTCGGGTGAAAAAGGAAAAAATTTGTGGTCAGGTCGGTTGGTCCTCGGTCGGTTGGTCAGGTCGGGAGGTCCTCGGTCGGTTGGTCAGGACGGAAAGTCCGCATGTCGGGAGGTCCTCAGGTCGGGAGGTCCGCAGGTTGGGAGGTCGGAAGGTCGGAAGGTCCGCAGGTCGGGAGGTCCTCAGGTCGGAAGGTCCTTAGTTCGGGAGGTCCGCAGGTCGGAAGGTATTCAGGTCGGGAGGTCCTCAGGTCTGATGGTCAGCAGGTCGGACAGACAGGTCGGATGGTCAGCAGGTCAGACAGACAGATCTGATGGTCAGCAGGTCGGATAAGCAAGTCGGTTGGTACGTGGTCGGACCAAGTAAAGTTGGCTGCTACGGAGGTCGGGCGAAGTAAGGTCTGGTAATTGATTGCCCACTTAAGTGAACAGTAGTTTGGTCGCGTGGTGGGGGCGGTCAATGAGTCTTTTGGTCTAGCGACCAGTTAGTCGCTGGATTAGTCGGTTAGGTTATGCAGTTAACAAGACGGTTGCCGTATGACCAGACGATGTTTCAAAACGTTTCTTTTGGGCGGTTGACGGTGGTTGCTGGCGACGGTTCCAAAGCGTCTTTTCAAGAAGTATTTAAGGATTTAAATTTCCAGCATTTTATTTTCCAGTTAATTTCTTTATGTACCGTACAGATATTCAGAGATTTCTAATCTCAAACGCTAATTAATCAAGTTTAAAGATATTTTCCATATCTTTGAATTTTACTTTTTGTTTGTTGAAAAAATACATCAACGCACGTATAACCATATAAGTATCTCAATAGCCATTTAAGTGCATTGTCAAGCAACTAACAATGTAAAAAAATATCGAATCTAGTATTTATCATTAAGTATTACGGACCTATAGTATTAGAATAAAGTATATATATATATATTCATGTAATTTACATTAAATTCAAATTTAACACGTTGGTCTCTACTTGATCAATTTTAAGTGTTTTAAGAACCTTATCAACATATAATGATTGATTCGAAAATAAGGTACAAGAAGTCATATATTTTACTATATTGATACCCAAAATGACGCTATTTCCGCAAATTTTCATATCAAAAGTTAATTTAGACATTTTATTTTATGACGTGGGAATAGTTTCAAACGTGAAGTTATCAAGTTTAGTTGGATGCAGTTTGATCTAGTCTTCCCCTATTCAGTTTCATCGCATAGTTTTTAGGTGTCAAAATTAAGTTTTAGCGAATCAAAGGATATTCTTTTTGCTTCCGTTGCCGTTTCTTTTAATAGATATATAATTAATTTGTCGAATTTTGCGAGTGCACAAGAATATGATCAGCTTGAATGAGTTGCAGGGTGAAACTCTACAAAGTTTATGAATTATTCTTGAGATTCAATCATTCAGTGTTCATCAATGTAAAAATTAATTCTAAAATATGGTTTATCTTACAGCTTTGGTGGAATGCATTTTCTAGCCATGTATTAATTAATCTGTTGGATAGGTTGTGAAAGATTTAAATTAACCTCATATGAGAGAGTGATGATCAAAATCTGTTATACCAATCAATACAATTATTTTGAGATCTTTGTACCTCTTGTTATTTTAGACAATATTAAATTGCAATATATACAAATTATTCATGTTGCTTAATTGATTTTTTTTTTTTTTTTTTTTTTTTTTTTTTTAAAGAATTGAATTGAAATAGACAGTGAACAAAAGAGTTAACATGGGATGTCTGAGAAGAGATTTTATCCTCGAATGACTTTTTATTTCTCTACAATAGTTCATGGTTTCGAATTTTTATGTAATAAATGAGACTGAAGTTGATATTTCACTACAAAAAATAATATATTTGTAACGGAATTTCGTCCCTAAAGTTCACGTAGCTAATGTAATTCCATTATTAATTTCGTCTCTAATGTCATTAGTAATGGAAAAAATAAATTTAGAGACAAAAAAATTTTGTTACAAAAATGATTTTTTTTTGCAGTAGTGTTCAAACAAATTAATTAAGGCCAAAGGAAGTAGAACATTGTATCAATTTTTATTACCAAATATACATTATTCTATATATGACTTGATTTTCAATAAAAATAAAATAAAATAAAATTGAGATGACTCTCCACCGTAGTAAAAAACGAAATGACTCCACCGGAGTCGAAAACGACCTAACTTTACCGAAGTTGAAAACGAGATGACTCTCCTCCAGAGTCGAAAATAAGATAACTTTCCACCGGAGCTGAAAACGACATGACTCCACCGGGTATGAAAACAACATGACTCCACCGGAGCCGAAAACGACATGACTTCACCGGAGCCGAAAATGAGATAAATCGCAAACACTAAACAGATCGCACGCAGGCAATAGACAAGCAAAAGTGGCAGAGACAAATTTCAGATCGCATGCAGGCAATGGAAAAACAGCTGACAGTTGGCAGATAGCTGATAGATTTCAAAATCACAAGACCTCCGGGTACAATTCGGGTTGAATATACCGGGAAAAATGCAGGTTGATAGGCTATATACATAATAGGCTTAGAAATTTTGAAAAAATTGTCTTATTGATCATCAAAGTAAAGGGGTCTATCCTCTAAACATCTAAACAGAGCCATTCCTGACTTTCGAAGGGTCCGAGGCGAAATAAAAATCAGGACCCTTAAATATATATATAATATTTTTTTACCTATTATAAAATATAAATAAAAAAAAAACATTTTTTCTAGAATAAATTTAATTTCGAAAGTTAGCATAAATTTTTCACATACTTTACAAATTGTGTAACGCTCCTTTATATTTTAACAAATGCTGTATAAAATCCCCGCCATGCAAAAAAATATAGATGAAAAGTCATCTTCCAATTATAAAAAAAAATATAAAAATGAGTTTAATGGAATATTTTTTAAAGTATCAGGGGTTCATGCGATTTTTAAAGTATATAAATGATTTACATTGAGTTTCGAAATCATAAAGGAGTTATTGATAATTTTGCCTAATAATAGTAATATTTTGTCTAATATTTATTATCTTTTTAGTGCAAAAAAAAAATTAAAACAAAAATAAAAGACCCATAAATATATATAAATAATCTACTCCGATTTTTTTACCTATAATAGAATATAAATTATTAAATAAAATATTTTTTTTATATAATTTCTAGATAAAATATCAATAATAGTATTAATATTAACAATTTTAAACAAAAATTAGGGCCCCTAAATATGTATAAATAATGTATTTTTTTATCTATAGTAAAATATAAATAATTAAATAAAATAAATTTTTTAATATTTTTATATGCAAAATATCAATAATATTTTAAAACTTAATCACAAAATTATGCTCTTCTATTATTAAATAAATATTAAATAACTTATATATATAAATAATACATATATAATATAATTATATAATGAGTCCCAATTTAAATTGGATCTGCGCAGCAGCCTATAAAAAAAAAAAAAGAAAAAAGAAAACCTATCCAATCCCAACCTTCTGTTTTTCCTAAATTATCTCAAACAAAACCCCAATCTCTCTCTCTCTCTCTCTCTATATATATATATATATCTTAAACCCTACCTGCCATTACTCATATATCGATCATCTTCTCCATTCACAATCTCTCTGATCTCTCAAGTCTCAACAATGTCGGCGACATGTCCAGAGCTTCCCTGGGACATCATCTACGATATCTCAACTCGAATTTCAGATTTACAAACCTTAGACACATGTAAAGCTGTTTCCAAACAATGGAACGAGATTTTACAAGACCCTAATTTCAAGATCGTTCACTCCAAATCGACTGGCGTGATCTCGTCGGCCTTCATCATCCAGAAGTCTGATTACGAGAATAAGGATCCCGTATTGAAATCAATTCATTCACCACCGTCGCCGTGGCCGTCGCCGTCCATCTGGCTACCGAACAATGAGTTTGAGATATTGGCATCCTGCAACCAAGGACTTCTACTGTACGGCAAAAGACATAAAAGGTATTTCTCTAGGTTTGATTACTATGTCTGCAAACCAGCCACCGGACAGTGGCTGAATTTGCCCGACCCCGATGCCAGATGCTGCACTGTAGGAATGGCCATTGCCGCTTTCGGTTCAAATCCTCTACGCTTCAAGATTGTTAGGGTTTCCGATATTGGACCAACAGAGTGAGTTTAAATAATTTTTATTTCTTTCTTTTTTTAGCAAAAAATTTGCTTAATATTGCATGAAGTATGGGGATATATTGCTTAATTTTGCTTTATTTTTTTGTTGACATCGATCTAATTGGTTGTATAAACATAACCTCGTTTATTTTGTTTGTGACTTTCTTGATTTACAAATTTCCATTCATTTAGGTCGTCGGGTGTTGAAGTACGGTGTGAATTGTTCGATTCGAAGCTATGGGCTTGGAGAAAATTGCAAAATTTAGTCGTACCAAGGAATATTGGTTGTTTGTCTCCATCAATCTTTGTTGAAGGTTCTTTCCATTGGGTTACTATTGATAACAACATTGTTGCCTTCGACGTAGCCACGGAGTCTTTTCGCACGTTCCATATGCCCGAGCCGGTAAAGTTTAAACGAGATTATCCAAGGTGTATTCTGGGAAGGCTCATGGACTTCCAAGGGAAGCTCGGATTGAGCTGCAAGACAAAAGGTAAGAAGATCGAGCTATGGTTGTTAATGAAGGGTGTTTGGAAGAGGCATCTGGTCGTTGATCTTAAAAGGTTCAAAGAGTTGAGGTTTAGTGAATTGATCGGATTTTACGACATTGGAGTTGTGTTGTTGGAGATATCATCGGAATTAATTTTTTTTAGGATTCGAGACAATACTTGTGAAAAAGTTAAGTTGGACTCTCGAGAATATAAGCCGATAACACAAATATTTCAATTTAGAACTGATTTGAAGATGGTAGAATTTTGCAAGGGTTGAGATATTTTATTGGTATATATTATATGAACTTATCTCATGATAATATTATGACAGTTTATTTTATATAAATAATTGGCATATATTGTTAATTATGCATTTGTATTATTCTATACCATATGCTATTGACTTATGATATGTATTGCCCGTTTTGTACATTCATCAATTCAAATTATATATGGATATGTAATTTGGTAAGTTACATGATTTATTTTATTAACAAGCCATTAGCAACATTATCCATTAACGATTTATTATATTAATCTTATCGTTTTAAAAGCAAGATTTTTGCACATTTGAGTTCCAAACTCTCACTATATATTGTCATATTATATATCTTGTAAGAAAAATGATTTCATTTAACAGTAATTTCGAGCTTAGCTTTCTTGAGAGCCTCAACAATAGCTACATATTTAAATTTGATAGTACATAGAGAACAATATTATGCAATTGCAATCTTCAACTAATGCATATGACATAGAGATTGGTCTCTACTCAATCAAATTTAAGTGTTTTTAGAACCTTATCAAGATGAGATGATTGATTAGAAAATAAGGTACAAGAAGTCATATCTTTTACTATATTCATACCCAAAATTACAGTATTTCCCCAAATTTTTATATTAAAAGTTAATTTAAACATTTTGTTTTGTATGATTAATGGTTTAAAACGTGAACTTATTAAAAGCATACCATGTTTTTATCTTTGAATTTTGTTGGAGACATAGTAGTAGTGTAAGGCAAATATCTGCAAGAAGCGCCTCTTTGGCATGTAAAATTCTCTATACATTCTTTTCTATGGTTGTGTCATATTGCACTGTAAATGTTTTTAATTTATTCTCCCCACTGTAATTTCTATGGTCTTTTTGCATCAAATGAAAACTCATTTTCATTGTCTTCGGTGAACCTGTTTTTTGTATCCTGCAATTAATTCCTATGCAGCTTTCTCTTAATCTTTAGGGATTAATTACTATGTTGTGCTAGGGATGGTTCCATACCTGGTTTGTGTTTTAGTTTGTGGCTGGTCTGGGTCGGGTCGCCTTTGAATCTAGGCTGGAGTTGGACTTAAGTGGGTTTTGGGCTGGGCCTAGGTCTGGGTCTGGGCTTGGTCAGGTTCTGGATTTGGGTCTGGGCTGGGGCTGAGTTGGGGCTGGATCTTGGTTTGGTCTGAGTCTGGGTCTGGGAATTTCCTAGGCGTGGGCTTGGGCTTGGGCTGGGTCTAGGTTTGGTTCTAGGTTGGACCTGGACCTGGGCCTGGGTCTGGATCTGGGGCAGGGCTTGGTTTGGGTCTGGTTCTAGTCTGGTTGGGGGTTTGGTCTGGATTTAGCTTTGGGTTCTGTCTGGGTATAAGCTGGTCTACGTTTGGGTTTGGGTTTGGGTCTGAACTTGGTCTGAATCTGGTCTATGGTGGGTTTGTGTGGTTCTAAGGGTACTTATAACATCTTTCTATATTATGTTTTATTGCAATAGTACATGTTCTTTTATGATTCTTCCATTTCAGTTTTAGGCTCTATATCTCTAACTTAGTTTTTATAGTAGATGGTTGAGTTATAACGAGCTCCGTTTTTCATCTCTGATTTCAAGGATTCATAATAAATCGTAACAATCAATTTTTCAAGGAGGAATGTTTTGTTTTCTTTTTTTTTTTTTTTTTTTTTTTCATTTGTAATTACATAATAATTTTATGAATTTAGTGGAAGTTGATTATGTTATTGTCATGACATTTCATTTAAGTTTGAAATTTGTTATGTTAGTAGTATTAGATGATTTCTTTATGCTTGTTAACTTATGTTTTAACTTGTTTAAATTTTGATGTCTGAATGTTTAATTGTGTATTGTGTTTTAGTTTGTTTTAAGCTTGTTTTTATCCATAAATGATTTATGCCCTATTCTTTTACCTTTATAAAAATGGAATTGTAATGATTTTTCTCTTTCTTTTTTTTCATCTTGTGTGTGCTCGAATGGACTTGAGCTGGTTCTTGGTTTAGGTTGAGTCTGGATCTGGAGCTGGATCTTGGTTGGGTTTGGACTGAGTTTGGGTCTCGTTTTGGGCTTGGTCAGGGTCTGGATTTGGGTTTGGGCTGGGTCTGAGGGTGGGTTTGGTCTGGATTTGGGTCTTGGTCTTATCTGGGTTTGGCTCTAGGTTATGCCTAGGCCTGTGCTTGGGCTGGGTCTGATAAATAAAATTAAATGAAATCAAATTTAATAAATTCTATTTATAATATGACAAAATTTCCTTCAATTAACTATATTAAATATTATATATATATTAAAAGATATGCATATATTAACCATGTTATTTTTGTAGAGAAAGGTGTAATGGATGGCAAGAGTGAGATGCTTATATTAGTTACTATTATTATTATCCCTCTGTTCCAAACACCATTTTAACATTTTTCTTTTTTTATGTCCCAAATACGTGCAATATTTTTAAAATAAGAAATAATTAATTATACTATATCCTCTTACATCAACCAAATAAACTATATATTTATCTCTTCATCATCACTTAATTTTTAAATTATCCTACATAAACTATCCACTAAAAGCGCTTGCCAAAAGTAAATGTCCCATCTTATTTTGGACGGAGGGAGTATTATTTATTCTAAGCCGAAAAGGAAAGTCCCATTAGATAAACGTGCCCGATGGATCGGATCAGAATTTGAATCAACGATCTATTACAAGTTTATTCTCCATTCCACGAATCTCCACACCGAATTTATTATTATTATTATTATTATTATTATTATTATGTGTGATGACCGAGGCCACACCCATCGATCACCTTAGCCATCTTCAACGATCATTCTCAACCAATGGCACATCGCCACGTTCTCCGGCTGATGATAATATTTGCGTCACACTGACACACACACAAATTGCGGCCGCCCGCCCGCCCTCCCATCTCTTTCCTGAAATCCGATAATTTTATATACACTTTGAAGTTTTGAAGTCGATGATGATAATCTTTAATATGCCATTAAGCATACGTCATCTCATTTTGATGTTCTGATATATATAGATAAATGATTCTCTCTCTCTCTAATCAATCATTCTCCTATTGGTTTTGATTTTGGAGTTTGAAAGATCCATCCATCCATCTTCTGCTGCTGCTGCTTTATCTGGAATCTCTCTCTCAGCCAATTATCCTTCCAAACTTCCATGTAAACAAATTAAACACTGACTGTATTTTTTCCGAATTCCAGTGTAGTGTATAGTGTCTGTCGCCAAGCCATTGGACCTGAAATGGAATCAATTCACCTGTGTTGCCTGCGTTGACTTGGAAAGCTAATTGTTTATCCCATTCTCAGCATCACTCGATTCCAAGTTTTGCTGCATTTAATCAATTTTCCGGCCAAATGGTTTCGCCGGAGACTGCTACGACTACGAATTGGCTTTATGACTACGGATTTGACGATATCCCCAATTTCTCGTCTCCATATTCTGGATTTTCTTGGCCCTTGAATAATACGCCCTCAAATGTAAGGTACTAATTTCTTACCTTCTGCAACTTCAATTCTAAGCTGTGGTATGTAGAAATGTAATTTCTTATTTGATTTATGGCTCTCAGTTGAATTATTGAAGACGATGAATTTGAATTCTTTTACACTAATAAGCTATCAAATAATTCCAACGAGTTTGGGTTTTTCGTTCTTAGAGTTGGAATTGAGGGATCATTTGGGGAGAAGCCTATTACGCATAGGGAAGCTGCTGCAAGTTCAAACAAACGGTAATGAGCCTTTTGTTTCTTCTAATCCAACCAATCATTCATATATCTGATACGGGATAGGGTGGCCAAAAATAACAACAATCGGAAAGACCACTCCGAGCACGGCACAAAAATATCGTGCTTGGGCTTCTAAATATATACCTGAAAAGTTTCGAGCTGTGTTCGAGTTCATAAAAGGTGGACCATGCCTGGCCGATCCAATTTTTAAAATTAATGTTTAAATTTTATAAATATATATTAATTTTTAAAATAAAGATAAAAGTTAAAACTTGGATGATAAAATTCTTGATTTAGTTGTGAGTTATTTTCCAAACCTGATTTGCAATCGGGCCATGCTTGCCTAGCACGGGTTGGAATCAAGTCGGACCAGCCCGACACAAATTTTGAGCCGACCCGAATTACCGCCTCTAATATTTGATGTTTTCATGCTGAGTAGTCAATTTTCTGCTTCTATATATCTTTAATGGATCTTAGATCTATATCTATCGGTTCAATCCGGCCTTTGTTGTTCCAAATAATGCACTGTCTCGCCTTTCTCTGTGCATCTTCTTCACAGAGCTAGAGCTGAACCATGTCCTCCGGCGAGCTCGAAAGCGTGCAAGGAGAAGCAACGGAGGGATAGGCTGAACGACAAGTAATTTCATCGATAACTCCTTACCCTCACCATTTCTCCTTCGCTACTCCGGCAATGAAATCACCATGTTCTGTAGGTTCACGGAATTGAGTGCTCTCCTCGAGCCCGGGAGGCCTCCAAAAATAGATAAGTCCGCAATTTTGGTAGACGCAGCTCGTATGGTAACTCAGCTAAGAGATGAAGCTCAAAAACTTAAGGACCTAAATGTTAATCTTCGAGAAAATATTAAAGAGTTGAAGGTATGCGCGAAGCCCCTTCTCTTTAGTTTATCGCATTCGATGAGAAGCTGCGAGATTTCAATTGAAATTTGTTCGATTCTTCTGGAACCACTATTAGGCTGAGAAAAATGAGCTTCGCGATGAGAAACAAAAGTTGAGGACCGAAAGGGAGAACCTGGAGAAGCAAGTAAAGACAGTATACGGCCCCAACCCTCAGCCAGGATTTCTACCTCCGCCTCCTGCCGTTCATGCTGCTTTTGCCGCTCAGAGCCAAGCTTCCAGTAACAAACTGATGCCATTTATCGGGTACCCCAGCATTGCCATGTGGCAGTTCATGTCGCCCGCTGCTGTGGATACATCTGAGGACCACATACTTCGCCCACCGGTCGCCTAAGGCGACTAGAATCCTGCATCCAGTTGTCGCATTATTGAATTAGTCTCGAATCTTTACTTTCATAAGCTTTTGCCTGAGATTGTATTGTCGAAATGATGCCTCTGTTGGTGCAACTTCTTTATCAATGTGATGATGTGATCGAACACAGTTTATATACGAGTTTCTAGCATATACGGCTTAATCATCGACTATATGAATGCAGACAGAAAGGAAGACTTGCTGCGGCCGGGCATGGATATTAATGAAGTTAAAAAGTTAAGTGAAAAAAATAGAGCAGTCAACAATTATTTGTTAGAGATCATCTTCTAAACTCAAAATGGAGAATAACATCACTAGACTATAAGCAGCATAACAGATTGTGATCAATTATGGGAGAAGAAGAAAGTGTGCCTTCAAATGCCGGTTCGTGATCTCAAGAACTTGAAACCACGTCCCATCGCCATATAGTTCCATCTTCGCAGCAGCAGAGAATAGTCCTGAAGCATAGACACAATATTGTTTACGTTGCACACTTGAAGAACATGGAAGTTTGGAGAGAATATGCCGTGATTGACTCAGCTTACCTTCCATCATACGACACGGCAGTCAATCTAATTGGGGATTTTGACTGGACATGAGATAATCTGATAAAGCAAGGGAACCTAATGTAAGTCTTCAAGAAATAAAGTGACGCGTAAATTGCAACAGAGAAAGTAAGGAACCTTGCAACTAGAACCGGGGGGTTCGACTGCACTTCCCATACATATATCTTCCCTTCTCTATTTCCTGGCCACGTTTAAATGAGAATAATATTATGGATCATTACTCTACTTATGGAGAGCAGTGGCAGTTTATGCAAATATTAGATAGTTCTTACCTACGGCAACAGTCTTGTAATGAAAGTCACAGGAAAATTTAATAAACCAAATATCACATTCTGGAACAGGATACTTTTGAAGAATGTCAACTGTACCCTGCAAAGATCATCATCTTGCTGCTCGTTAACTAGCTCGCCATGTGAAAATTAGACAATTCAACTAGCAATAAGCATACATATCATACACAAATTAATTCTAACCTCTCCTGGAGATTGTTCCTTCATCTTCGGCTCCCATAATACAAGTTCATTATCAACGCTCTGCAATGTGACATAATAAATTATACCACGGGACAACACAAACTTGATTGTGATACAATGTATGCCATTTGGGCCTTTGTAGCACAGTTGCATATATTCGAGTACTATAGCAGAAGAAAAATAGCCTTCAGTTCCAGCAACTGGAGGGGAAATTGGATATTTTCCAACTTATGGAATGACTTTGAATTGAATTTGAAATTTGAAAATTATGGAACATCAATACCAAATTTCAGAATTTGAATTTATCACAACTTTTGATGAATTCGGTTTCAGAAATTTCATAATGTAGGTTCTGATTATGGATTCAATAAACATATCCAGTCACTAACATAATCCAATAGATCCAAAAAAACAAACAAAAAAAAACTATAATAAAAACCCAAACCCAAAATTATAAAATGCAAATAATGTAAATTTTTATATGTTCCGTTTGTCCTGTAAAATTATGTAGGTTTGATTGGACACGGAGACTAAAAATAATAATATTTTAATGTTAAGTGGGGTAAATAAGAAGTAAAATAGAAGTATTATAGGAAATGTATTAAATGATTTATAAAAAGAAGTGGAGTAAGTAGAAAAAATTGCGACAAATAAGTTATTATTTGTTAAAGTAAAGATAATAAAATTATGAGTTGATAAAATTGTTTACTATAAATGAATTGAATGCATTACATTCGAAAGACAACCATAATCAATCTTGGACAAAAATGTAGAGTTTAAACTAGAACTAGAAAGTAGAAACTTGGGTTGGAATTTTCAAATTGAAAATCTAAAAAATTAGCCCTTATTTGAGTTTGAATTTACACCCCTAATTCTAACATGCCAAGATAATTCAATATATGTATATATATATATTTCCACCAAGTGACTGGAGAAGCTAACAAATACAAATGATTCTTTGGCAAGAAAAATGCCCTTTGAATGAATAACTTCCATCCAATTATAAGTTTGCTAAAAGGATATGATTCACCTTAGAGATTATGAAATCTCCAATCCACCGGTTGCAGTCAACATAATTTGTGTGCACTGAAGCAATAAATATCTGAAAAGAAAGAAAATATATCAACAAAATCCATAATTCTTGTTAAACTTAGATCCTTCCTACATGGAAAAGTGAATGGCAAAAGAAGAGAAATCGAGACTCACAGGGAATTGAACATATTTTGTTGGGAACTTGGAAGGAAGATCTGTCCAGGTAAATGATTTTTCTACATAAGTCCAAAATTCTGCAAAATAACCATTATCAGTCCATGTATTGAATTCAAAAGTGTTATAAATCATCAATTGCATTGTTGTGGAAATTGATAGATTGAGTTGCAGTTGCAGGTAAATAGATGAACCACAAGGCAATGGAAAGACCAAAATACCAATAACCATCAAGTTTGTATCATCACGTGGAATTTCAGGAATGAGCTAGAATGAAGCCAACCATTATAAGCAATCAAACAATTACTCCAATACACATTGAAAGCATTACATTTCAAAGACAAGCTTGATAAATTCGAAGGGTATAATATGAAGAAAGGAGATAACATACCTTTCATTGACCAGATCTTAACAGTGTTATCCATTCCACAGCTTGCAATACGGTACATATCAGAAGGATGGAAATCCTATGGCACAAATTATGAGAAAGACTCAAATGTAACTTCAACATCAATATTCCACATCCTAAACAATTTAGGCCCAAATTTTGTATGTGTGTGGGTCTCTGTGTGTGTGTGGCAGAAAAGGTTCGATATTGCATCACATACCACACTAAGAACCTCATTGCGATGGCCACCAGCACCAGCAAATATCAAAATGCATATCCCAGTATGAATATTCCAAAGCCGCACAGATTCATCCTGTCAATTTTTTTGTTGAACAAGTTCATGCTAAAGAACAGATAAAGTTTCTTTATTTTTCAAGACTACAACAAGTCACATTTTCTTCATAAGATTAATTATTTACTGCTAGCATTCAGCGGGAGATGCAAAATAACAAATCACTACTTACTTTGCTTGCTGACACAACAAGTGAGGGCTTCAGCGGCTGAGTCCGAATTTCATTTATCGAATCCCCATGACCAACAAAACTCTGCAGGTAAATTTTTATTTTTCATTCAAATAGAATTTGTTTTTTAAACAACTTCAGCTGCCAGATCAACAGATGATAGGCAGGAACATGAAAAAGTAAATTAATCAAAGAATATCAAGCATTATCGATATTGCCTCTTTTTACCTCTTATAATGATATGACTCCATGATAATCTATGAAATACCAGTAAAGCACAACTTTTGGCATTCAAGCAAAAAACGTACCTTGTAGATCTTCTCGTTGCCAGTATCAATAACCCTAATAATTCCATTAAGTCCACCAGCCACTAAGAATGGAGATCCATCAATATTGCACGCCCAACTGACCGTGTAAAATGATTCATCTTTCTGATCTACACAGTAAACGGAGCACCAGATGCTGTATGAGATATCACTATCAACTCATTCGCCAAAATTAATATCTAAATTACATACATCTTCATCAATGTAGGACTGCAGCACAGCTATAACACCGCCTTCCAGACACTGATACACAGTGACCTGACAAATGTCAAAACATAAAATGAATTCAGCAGGTTCCTTCTCTTTGCATCAAATCATCCCTTTAAAAACCAATAAAAATCGAAGCCAATCGATTCACCACTAGAATGAAGTACTAAAAAAAATCAAAAATCAAAACAAATCTTCGCATTCATGTCAACAAGAATCAAATGATGCATAAGTAAAATCACAACAGACGGAGGCATAAGAAAAATTACGCACGCGATTTCCGCCGGCGGTGGCGAAGGCGTTGAAGTAACGTGAGTCGATGAAATTGAAAACAACGGCGTATATGGGGCGCTTGCCTTCCTGGAGCCTGTTGGTGACCCTATAGTCGCGCTTCTTCGAGGGCGCTAAGGAGCCGACCACCGGCTCACAACCTAAGGGAACCTTTGCCATCGAGGAACCCGTCTCCGCCGCCGCCGCCGCCGCCGCCAGCCGAGGTTTGCAGAGAACGGCGTCGTTCCGTCTCCGCCGATGTTTGGGTTCCCAAATTTGAAGAAGGGCTTTTTTATTTTAAATTGTAGGTTGAGCTGTCACAACTGCTTGTTTGCTTGTTTTGGTCTGTTTTTAATATTTGAAATTAATCTGTGATATTTTTATTTAAATATAATATTTTATAAAATAAATATTAATCCATATTTTTACTAAAAATTACAATTTAATTTAAAAATATTAAAAAATATAAACTCTTAATAATAGTGTTTATGCCTATATTTTCTGGTGATATAATTAAATTAATTATTTAATATAAAATATTACTTTTATATTATTATATAATTATTTATATTTTATATTACTTTTTTTTAAAAAAAAATTAAAATTATTATTATTCAATCTAAATGATTTTAATAAAAACAAATTAATTCTTTTATAAAATATTAAATTTAAATTTCAATAATATTAGTAATTTTACAATATATGTTAATTCTGATATAGAAATTTTTATATAACATACAGTATGTTTTTATATTAAAAAAAATTAGTAAGATATGTTGAAAAATCGATATGGTATTACTATGAAAATTTTTAAATCGTAATTATTGATATACCATAAATTGGTATAGCGAATAATTTGATACCCTATTAAGATAAGATTTTTTATATTGACATGAATTTTTTGATATATTATATTGTGTCACCCTTAATTTTATATCTACTATTTCATATTATTGGTTTCATTTATCTCAGATTCATTGTATTATTGTCGTAAATAGACAATTACTATCAAATTATCATTATTTTTTTATTATTTTTATACAAATATCATTATTTTATATACATAAACTAAAACACATATTCTCAATCATAATGGCCAAAAACATTTCACCGTAATTTTGTATTCATTATCAATATAATATTAAAAAATATATATATTAGTCATTCACATTGCTAGAATTTTCAAAACTATGTAAATAAACATGGTATATTTTTATATCAAAAGTTTTTCTAATATATTATTTTTAAAAAATTAATATATTATATTTATTTATTATATTTATATTATTTATATAATTTTTTATATCTTATAAAAAAAAATTCAAATCAAAACACGAAATGAACACACCCAAGGTTTAAGTATATTTAGTTGGTATTTTTTATTTTGATTTTGAATTTGATTTAAAAATTAATTTTAATGTGATATTAAATTAAACTAAATAATATATTTTTATAAAAATGGTAAAAATTGAATAATAAAATTTTAATTATAAAATGAACTACCCAATTTTTCCAAGATTTCAAAAGAAATTGGATTTGTTTAATTTTGGTTTGAGTGTGTGTTTATTTAGTTAAATTGTTTGAATTTTTTTTTTTATTTTTATGTGAGTTATATAAAATTGTGCAAGTAATATAAAAATAATAAGTGTGCGTAATATATTATTTTTTTTAAAAAAAATATAATTTTGAAAATTTGTGAAAAAACTCACTATTAAATAGTATTAGTATTTTGATATCATACTTTGTACGAAAAAAAAAAAAAAAAAAACATATTTTTTTACTCTTTTCGTTTCGAAACTAAATATTCATTTGCTTTTTGCACGTAATTTTAGAAATATTAATATTATATTGAGATATAGTATGAATAAAGTAGAAATGACTAAAATAACTTGTTAGTATGTGTGTATAAAGATAATGACATTTGTGTAATATATTGTAAGTTGTAAGGGTATTTGTAATGTTAGATAGATAATCCAGTTAGTAAAAAAAAAATTAATATTTTGTTATGAAACAAATTAAAATGAAAAAATAAATACTTTGTTAGGGGACTGAGGGAGTATTAAAATTTCATATAGAATAAATAGTATTCGTTTTAATTTGAGGTCAAAACCTAACAAACTCATCTTTATTGTCGGCTTTTTCAGAATTCGGTAAGAAAATTAGGTATACATTTATTTGGTTTGCTTTTCAGTTTCAAATATGTCAGTACATTTGTCGCGTGTATAAATGTTCCGTTTAGATTTGCTTTTGAAAAATATTTAAAATTTTAAATTTTTTAAATAGCACTTCTTCGGTTCTATAAAATTGTTCTTTTAATTGTCCAACTAAATTAGTCATATTTTTTAATAAAATAATAATTAACAATCAATAATTTAAGTTAAAATTTAAATATATTTTATTAAATTACTAATATCAAAGTAATTCTAAAATATATTTAAAGTGATCATTCTTCACCTAATCTTATTTTCATGAACATATTGACTCCCATAACATATAGATAAATGATGCATATTTATTTAAATTTTTAAGTGAGACGATCATTTAACGATTCATACTACTTTTATTTATACCTATGCACGAGACATGTCTTTCTGTTGTTGGTTGAATTTTGGTTATTAATTTATTAGTTTGGTTAATTAGCAAATGAGTGTATTTAGTATTGTTGTCTCTTTATTTGTACATTTTTAGATGATTTAAGGCTATGGAATCAAAATTGTAAGTCATATTGATTATTTAATTTTAATGGGATGATCCTTCTTTAATTGAAATGAGGCTTGAAATGACCACTATTGATAAACAAGGAATGTAATAAACTTTAGATATTAGTGAAATTATAAATTAAAGTATACCTTTTTCTTGGCAGTGTTAAAAGTTTTACTCCTTTCGTCCATTCCATTTACAAAGTTTACATTTACTTTTGGCGCGGTGTTTAAAAATAATAATATTTTAATTATAGTGAGTAGTTAAAAGTAGTGTAATAATATTTTTGCCCTTACTTTTTTGTATAAAAGTAATGATGTGATGTAAAGTAGGTATTTAATGAAATATTAACTTTGTAATTGGACGTCCCAAAATAGAAATATATAAATATTGTAAGTGGACGGAGAGAGTATTATATTGGGAGAAATGAGTTACATGATGCTTTAGAATCAGGTCCGTTTTGGACTTTTCTTGAGGCCCGGGGTAAAAATTGAAATAGTGGACCCTTATATATATATATATATATATTTTTATATTAGCATAATAGCAAAAATAATTTTATACATATATTTTAATGTAAATGTAAAAATAAAATTAATTTTTTATATATATTAAAAGATCAATTTTTTAGTATAAAATTAATTTTTAATACGATATAAAATTAAAAAAATAATTGATTTAATATTTTTTAAAGAATTTCTTTTTTTATAAATAAACAAAATCTTTGAAAGAAAATTTTCAAACAAAGGTGTTTATTTAGGGTGTTTTGTTTTGTATTTTGATTTGATTTTTTTTTTTAATTGTGAGCTATAACAAATTATGTAAATAATATAAATATAAGTAGTTTATGTAGTATATTATTTTTAAAAAAATATATATATTGAAAAAAATTTGATAAAGAAATAAACTCAATGTTTATGTAATACACAATTTTTTTTAAAAAATATTACCAAAATATATAATAGAATATAAAAATTAAATATATAAACATTAAAAATAAAAATATAAAAAACACACAAAATATTACTCTCCATCATATTTTTATAATTTTATATAATTCACAACAAAAATATATAAAATTATACAATTAAATAAACATACTAAAATTAAATGATTAAAAAATTAATATAAACATAATTTATTTAAAAAATAATATGAAATAAATTTTTGATTTAAAAATTAATTTGATATATTCTATAAAATATTTAATAATAATAGTATATAAGAGTATATATATATAGAGAGAGAGAGAGAGAGATATTAGTGGGGGATCCTATGGGCCCTAGAAAAAATGACCCTGGGCCTGTTTAGAATTTGACCATTTTTGTTATCCTCATCAAAATATGCAATGTATTTTAAAGAGGAGTAGCAAAATATTTGAACAAATAGAATTGTCTTAATTATAATTTTTTAAACACAGTTTGGAAGAAGATACAAGAGATCAATATTGAACTAACCTTTGCATGAAGATATCTACTTCCTCCGTCCTGCGAGAGATAGAATCCTTTTATTAGAGACACGATTTTTTAGGTAGTGTAAATTACTAAGTTATTAATAAGTTATGATATTAGTTTATTATTTTTTATATGAATAATATTATTGATATTTAAAAAAATTTTAAGATTATATCTCAAAAAAATATATGCAATATGGATATCATTTTGTAGATAATAAAATTTTATATAATGCAAATAAATAGATTTTTTTTTTTATTTATCATTACCATAAATTAGTTTTATAAAAAATGAGAAGTTTTAAATATAGATAAAAATTATATTAATCGATGAGAGAGATAGAAATAAAGAAATTTTGAGTGGTCCCACGTGTAAGATCTTAGAAATTTAATTTAATTAATTTATATTTGTTAATTATGTTTTAAAATTGATAAAGTTACCAAAAAAATAAAAAGATGTCATTTTTTTGTGTGACGTATAAAAAAGGAAAATTGTTTATCTGTGGCCGGACGGAGGAAGTATATTGAAGCATTCATTGAAGTATATCGAAGCATTCATTTTTAACAATTTGACTTTGAAGCTATCACCTAGTATGGTTAAGGTTAAAGTTAGATAGAAACTTTTCATGACACTTAGTTAAATTTTTTGATATTTATATATATTATCAATAAACAAGTAAATTTAAAATTCTTTATTTTTTTATTTTTATTTTTTATAAATTTTTTCATTTTTATTATATTAAAGTTTATTTCAATATTTAAACACATTTTTTGAAATTTTATTTTAATAATATAAATTATATATCAAATATTAATTAAATAAGTTTCACTCGATCCAACTCTAAACCACAAGTTACAAACCAAAAACTAAAAACACCTATCTAAATAAATAGATAATTAATTATTGTATAATGTTTACTCATGAAAACAAATATAAAAGTTTTGTTTACATAGATATTTTTAAAACATTTATATTAATTTTTTTTAAACTATCACATCAAATATACTATATTACTATAAAATATTATGAGTGTGTTTATTTTATAAAATAATTTAAAATGATTATTATTTTTTTAATATAAAATATAGAAATTATATAAATAATATAAAAATAATAAGTATTTATAATATATTAATTTTTTTGAAAAAATATATTAATTTGAAAAACAAAAAGAAAACACCCTATATCAAAAATATTTATATATATATATATATATTAAAAAGAATTTAAAACTCAAGATCTTTCTATCTCAATGGAGCCAAAACTTGTGATGCATGTAAATAGGATCGAGCATTCTTAAATTTTAAAGAATGTGTTTGGTTGTGATCTTAAATTGAAATTACTATTATTTATCTCGTACTCTTTACATTCAAAGCAAACTATTTCTCTTATAAAATTTTATATTAAAATAACAATTCAAATTCAAAACAGAATATTTGGCATTATTTAGGTCACACAGTTGGAAGTGAGGAAGGACGTGACGACGGCAATGGCAGCATTCGGTGCATGCCAACCTACGTGGAAGCTCGACGCCGCTCGCCGCGGACACCTCAGCCGCTCCTCGCCGCCACGTAGTCCACATGCACCGCTTCTTCCCCCTATAAATTAAATCCAAAAGCCCCAAATTAATCAATCAATCAATACATTAATCCTCCCTCAAATCAAATACATTAATGGCCACCAAGTTCGTCGTCCTCGCCGCGCTTCTCGCCGCCCTGGTCGTCTCCGGCAGCTGCTCCACCTACACGACGGTGGTGACCACCGCCACCGTGGACGAGGAGGGTCCCAATCCCCAGCAATTCTCCTGCCCCAGCGAGATGCTGCGTTTCGACACACAGAATTGCCTGCCCTATCTCCAGAGGCGACGCAGCGGCAGATCGTCTTCAATGGAGGCTCCGTTCCTTCGGAGCGCTGTCGCGAACCCGCAGCGGGAGGAGGAGGCGGAGCCGGAGCTGCAACAGTGCTGCAATGCGCTGCGGAGCGTGAGGTCCGAGTGCCGGTGCGACGTGATAAAGAAGGCGCTGAGGGAGATGCGGGAGGAGCCGCAGAGGGAGGAGGAGGCGCTGCGGGCGAAGCAGGCGGCGCAGTGGCTGCCCAGCCAATGCGGGTTCAGGTCGCCACGCCAGTGCCAGATCAGGGCCATCTTCGTCTGAATCTGAGCTGCTAGATGCTAGCTGCTTGCTGTCTTGTCATGTCCAGTCGGAATAATTAATTAATTAATAAGTTGGAGAGGATATTATATGAAGGTGTATTTCTCTTCGGGCGGGCAGGCAGGAAATTTGTAATTTTATTGTTGTGATGTTAATAAATGGACACATCATCGTGTGTTCGTAAGATCTGTCTTAATTTCTTTCTTGCAATTCAATAAATTGGAGTGAATCTATGTCTTTCTAACACTTAAATTTCAATAAATTGGAGTAAAGATACAAATTTATGTGATTCACTGATACCGTATTGACCACGTCCATTAATAGGAACGAAAAATATATTTTATCGGAGAACAAATTTTACGACTAGGACATTTGGCCTTTAGAATAAATTTTATTAAAGACGACTAGGACATTTGGCCCTGTTAGAATAGGAGAACATGTATGTCATGTCAATAATATGAAATAATATTTCTAAATGATGGGTGTGTTTGTTTGGGGATTTGAATTTTGAGTTGGGATTTGAATAATAAAAATTTTGAATTTGAATAGTTGTATGATGTGATATAAATAGGTAATGATGTGATGTTTTGAATGTAAAATTGATTTTTAGTGTAATATAAAAAATAAAAAATAGGTGTTTGATTTGATGTTTTTGGGGGGAAAATTTTGGATGAATAGTGAAATTCGGACCAAATATCTCAACCGAACACACCCGATATAGATTTAAAATATAATATTTAATATCCACTGATATAAATTTAAAATATAATATTTAATATCTAAATTAATGGATATAGATTTAGAATATAATATTTAATATCCAAATTCAGATAATTCATAATTCCGTTCCTACATTGTCTTTTTGAACCTTGGAACTTATTAAATAAGAATCTGGATATATATTATTATGGCTTTGGAACACAATAATAATTAATAAATAAAAGGAGATAATCACCACATATTATTGTGTTTCTATGCTACTCAGGAATCGGCAACAACCGTTGAATAGGGTACATATCCGAATGTTTCTATTCTCCGACAAGTAGTGAGATTAATGTTAAGAGGGATTTCGGTGTTAAAACTAATTGGTATTGAAATTTCGAAGTAATCGATATTAAATGGAATAGTTGTTAGGGGAGCCAATAGGATTAGATACTCCAGTAGTTCTAGCCGTAAAAGCGCTGTGTGTATCGATCCGTGCAGTGCTATAGCTAACGAAGAAAAGAAAATTAATAAAAGAAAAATATCATACTTGATAATTATTACACTTTTTATATTTAATAAAAATTATTTTAATAATATAAATAATCTCACCACTCCAATTATTATTTATCAAATTACTATCCAACAAAACCCTCCAAAACCTACTACACCAAAGGAACGCAAATTCTCAAAACTCCTAAAAAATTCAAATCCAAACAAATTTTTCCAAACTCAACACAAAAAAACACACCCTTGTATTCTTTATTAGGCCTAACCTTGGGCCCGAGAAGAGGGGCCGTAGTTTAAGACTCAATGTAAAGGAAGGGTCCCTCAAATATTTATGTTATATATACATAATTATTATATATAGAATTTATTTATAATTAAAATTAATGTAATTTGGTGGTATTAATTTTTTTTGTAAGTGTAAGATCATAAATTCTAATTTTTTAGTTCTATATTTATATCTAAAAATATTAAAATATATATTTTATTTAATTATTTAATTATTTATTATGAATAAAAATTATTATTTATATGTTTAGGATCTATGTTTTTGTTTTGTCTTCCTAATTCAACCAAGTAATTAGTGAAACAGTACCGACTATTCAACTTCATCATAACTACCAAATAGCTTATGGATTATGTTTTAGCATCATATTAACTAATATCCTGTCAACATTAGAACAACTCATTTGAATTATTTATTTATTTAAATTGTTATATTAAAAATTATTTTTATAATATAAAATATTACATTTAATATTAATTCGATCATTAAAAAATTATTTTTATTATATTGTATTATTTATAAAAACAAATTAAGCTGTTGAAATACTCTTAAAATATTAATTAATTTCATTCGTTAAGAAATTATTTCTAATATATTTTATTATTTTAAAAAATTTAAGCTGTTGAAACACTCTTTAAAATATTATCAAAACACAATAATATATACCAGTAAAGTCGTATCATGTCTCTATCGTTTAGCATAAGTAGTATTGTTTTCAATAATGGAGTAAAGGTCACATGAGAAAAAAATGATTACTTGATTGATTCATATATATATATATATATAAAATTTTATATTCTATAAATAATGAAATAAATTTATATAGCTAAATTTATATACTATAAATAAATTATATATAAAATTAGCATATATAATAATAAACTAATAATAAAAAAATTAGCATACATATTTTTCATGATCTCAAAACTATTACACAAAATTAACAAAGTAAAAAGATCTCGTGCTATCCCATCTTCACACAAATACTTTGGTAAATTTTAACACTATCTTTATTTTCTAAAAACATCCCATCAATTATTTTTTATAAAATAAATACTACTCCCTCCGTCTCACATACTATGTCTACGTTGCCGTTTCTGTCCGTCCTACGTACCATGTCACTTTTCTTTTTTGGAAAATGATTACACACTTTAATCTCATTTTAAACTTTTTAATTTTATTTTTTAAAAATTTTTAATTAAACTAATTAGTTATCTTAATCTTAATTTATAATTATTTATATTATAGAATAATTATTTTCACTAATACATTCTTAATTATCTACTAATTAAACTCCTCCTAAAATATCGTGTCTACCGTGCAGCAGACACAATATGTGGGACGGAGATAGTAATATTTTACTATTCTATCGAGAAGCTAATATGTATGTCCTCTTCTCGAATTGTGGAGACATTGAAAGTTTGAACTTATAATATCACTGTCACAATTTTACTTCATAACACAATGCCATATCTTTGGGACAAAATAAAGTACCTCTTATGACATGAAAATTTATAATCGCTATTTTTTAAGTGCGCTCTGGATAACTTTTCGATCGAACTTAAAAAAATAAAAAATATAAAGTACCTCTTGTTTTTAGGAGAATAAGTTCTTGAGTACATTTTTTATTTTATTGTATCATATCTCATGTAATTTTTTTTAAAAAAACAATTACACATTTTAAATTATATTAATTATATTTTTAAATTTTAATTAAATCAATTATTTGTCGTACTTTTAATTTATAATTATTTATATTATATTATAATTATTTTTATTAATACATTCTTAATTTATTTATTTATTTACTAATCCTATCCCTATTAAATTTTCATATCTATAATAGCTATGATAATATTTTTAGGAGTTAAGTTCCGCCTAAATAGAAATTTTTAAATGTTTTTAGAAATATAGTTAAATATTAGATCTTTAATTCTCTGTTCTATCAGTCAAATATTTTCTCATTTTTTCTTATAGCCTGTCACCTGAATTTACCTCCTTACTAATTTTAACAAAGTTAAGCATTTCCCCTTAACACGAATTCCTCCTTCCCCGCGCCTCCGCCTGAATCCCCGGTGATCTTTTTTCTTCTTTTATTTTCCTCCACCGCCTTCGCCGTCAACGCGGCTTCCAGCTGGAATTTTCGATGAGTTTTTTCCCTTCCATTTTCCTCCACAACCGTCGTCTTTGTTTCTATCAACTTCTTACGCCAGCAGTCGCCGGTTGCCGTCGCCAAAGATGCGATTTCAGGCTTATGGTGGCGGTGGCGGCAGGAAGAAAGCGGTGGCAGCTCTTTCTTCATCTCCGGCAAGGCAGCTGTGGAGGCGACGGCGGCGGCGGCAGCAGCTCCTTCTTCTTCAGCGGAAGCTCCTCTTGTATCGCCACCGATGGCGGGGCAGCTCCGCCTTCTCCAGCGGCGGCGGCGGCACTCCTTCTCCGGCGGAGGAAGCTCCTCCTCCTTCCTCATCTTCTTTTTCGGCGGTCGCAAGGCAGAGCAGCGTAGGCGGCGCGGGGACGGCGGCGGTGACCGATTGATTAGACATTTTTCTTTTAATAAAAATTTAATAATTATTTCAGAAATTTTGAGGCAAATAAAAATATATCACACGCTCCCTTTGTTGGATATGACTTCGAAATTTTTTTGGCCACTTAAATGTCTACGAGTTTTACTCTTCATGACGGTTGTTCGATACAAATTTTGACATTTTTAAAAAATAGTTTCGGATTTTTTTAAATTCTGAGAGTAATTTTCTGAGACTTATATTGATTATTATTTTTTATTATTATTTTTTTGTAATAGTGTATTACACATATAATTTAAAGAGTACAAATATAAAAAATTCTTATACACTTTGGTTAACTATAAAATATTACTTTATTCATTTCAATTCAAAGTATATTTTTTATTATTTTCAATTTGTCTCACTCTGAAGTATCTCTTTCCTATTAGTAAAAGTAATAATACATCAATACTAAAATATCCTTAATTTTTACTTAAATTATAAATATACTAATACACATATAATTATTTTTTTATAAAATTTTAAAAAAATTATCAATTTTTTTTTATATATTTATATTAATTAATAAAATATTATTATTTTTTAATTTAGTATAATAACAAGAACCTTTGAATCGGAAGCGAAGGAGTATTATTTTTTAATAAACGGTAAAATCCCAATTGAGACGGCACGAAAGAGTACGAAGAACACTGCACAAAATTTTCTATCCGAATAAACCCTAAAGTGCTACAATTGTACAGCACGCATATTTATACAATTTGTTTTAATTCGGCAGTGGCGAACACCTCATGCTGCCATGGCCGCCACGTACTGTACATGCACGCTCCCTCCCCTCCTATAAAACGCCACCCACCCCACCCTACCTCTCCATCCTCAAGCCACATCTTCACATCAATCAATCCACAATAAACACACTATTATAACATTAATAATCAACTCCAGCAAATATGGCCACCAAGTTCGTCGTCCTCGCCGCGCTTCTCGCCGCCCTGGTTGCCTGCTCCTCCGCCTACACGACGGTGGTGACCACCACCACCGTGGAGGAGGCAGACATGAATCCCCAGCAGTCGTGCGAGAAAGAGATGCAGCGTTTCCAGACACGCAAGTGCATGCGGTATTTGCAGAGCAGCCGTATGGAGACGGAGACTCCATTCCTGAGGAGCGCCGTCGCGGATCCGGGTCAGCAGGAGCAGGAACTCGAAGAATGCTGCAATGAGCTGAGGAGCGTGAGCTCTCCGTGCCGGTGCAGGATGATAAAGGAGACTCTGAAGGAGATGCAGAAGCAGCCGCACATGGAGGAAGAGGGGAAGGAGGAGGCATGGCAGATGAAGCAGAAGGCGGAGTCGCTTCCCCGCCGCTGCGGTTTCAGGTCCCCCACCCACTGCCGCATCAGCACTATCTTCATCTGAAGAAGATGACGATGGAATGTATTAATAAAATGGATGTCTCTGTGGATCCGATCTGATGCATGCCTAGCTTGCTTGATTAGGTTGTTGTAATGTTAGCTGTTGTATTATGAGTATTAATAAATGGACACATCATCGTGTGTTCGTGCATGTTTAAGATGCAGGAGCTGTTTTGTCTTGGTCTTCGTCTCTTTTACCTTTTTCTTTTTTTTTTTTTTTTGACTTAGAAACTCGTCTGTTTTTTTACTTAGAAACTCCTCGTCGTTACTGGCCGTATTAGGTAAACTTTTACTTAAATGGAATGTTAGCTCGTTTGTTATGATGCTATTATGCATGATGATAATAATTATATTAACTAACTGGTTTGAAATTAGTTGTATTGTCCATGATGAGTCAACAAGTGAAGGAATTAATTTGTCGTTCACTTGTGTCTGCTGATGTCATTATGGACACAAGTGAAGTAATTAGACAACGGGTGCATGCATAAGTTGCTCTAAATCTAGCTATGAGAAAATTAGTTAAACAGTGAGAGAGAGATTTATTGTATTTACCGGCAATGCATATTCAACATCCTCTGTTCTAAAAAGCTCCATGTTCTCTCATTTTTCACCTCTCTAAAATATTGGTTTTTGATTCCTTCAATTGTGTTCTCAATCTTGTTGTCAATAGTTTATTATTATTATTATGCGGAAACTTGTCGAGCAAGTCATCCTAGAATTAGGTGCAGCAAATTGTCAGAATTTGAATCATAAATCCATATTCTCACGAATGATCTCGGTCACGGTTATAAGTTTACTTTCTACAACACCCTTTACCAATAGTTATCTTTATTGTTAGGTTTCTTGGTTCCCTCAATTGGTTTCATCTTGTTGTCAATAGTTATATTTATGATCCGGCACGATTTGGGTAAATTTCTATCAAATCTAATAATCTAATATTTTTTTCATCTGTTCTAAGGGTCACAATTATCTTTTGTATCATTGTATTTAATATTAAAAATATTCTTATATTTATATAAAAAATTTTTTGACAAATATTCTTCTTTTAGTATATAGGACACTCAAAAAGTAAATGAGACCTTATTGCAGGCGATACCATATCGGATGCTAATGACCGTCTAACCTAAAAACTCAAACTTGTTAGGAAAACTAAGACATTAGTTACATATCCCGTTTCAAACGGGAGTCCCCAACAACCATAATAAAACAGTTAAACAATATATGTTTTTATTCAAACGCATGCAATATATATTGTATTAAATAAATATACACATATATTGTGTTAATATACTTTTGTGTTGACATTAATTAGTATGTGTTGCGTTGAATTATGTTATCTATTGTTATTTTATATGCAATTTTTGTATTATGTTATTATAATTAATATGATATATTTTTATATTATGTATTGTCTGTTTACATATTAATTCATTGTGTAAGTTCAATTATATATTATATTTGTGTTATAGTAGCATGTATTTTATATTTTTCTACATTGTATTGTCTGTTCTTATATTATATATAGTTGTATTGTTTGTTCTTATATTATATTGTGTCATTTTATATTATGTATTTTATTATGCTAATATAACTCATACAGTTGAATATCTTTTGTGTCTTTATATTATGTATGTCTTTTATATCTCAATATAGTATCAGTCACCCATGCAAAATAAAGATTTTTAATCTTTTTATTTAACACCATACTGACAGTACATTATGTGTTAAAAGAGAACACACGATCTTACTATAGACAATACATCGTTTATATTAATATAATATAAATACAACACATGAATTAAAAATATATAACATGCTCATATATAATACACATTTAAAGTATTAATATATAACACCTATATGCTATCTGTATTTTTTTCGCTGATTGAAAAAATCAATACGGTAAAATCAACATGGTAACATATATATATATATTGGATAACGTGGAAATCTGTATTTACTATTCTTCGAGTACGCTTGAATAAACTCCGACCGAATATAATATTCGGCAAAGAATTGAATAAGTTTTTCTTCAATACAATATGTTAGGTGGATTAAATTTAAGGTTAATATATTTTTGAGTTCTTACATCAATTGATAATTTGTTTAATGTCTTTGTTCGTATAGGCAAAATTCTTGCTCTCTCATTATATACGGACGAGATATGTAAATTGATCAAAGATCGAAAGACACGCATTTTCTGTAAATTGTAGGATTATTGTTCCCGAGATTGTCTTTTTTGCAAAGAAAGATACATTTAAACAAACTATTCCTTCAATTTCTTTTTTAAAAAATAAATTAAGAAAACACTAAAAGTGAAAAGATTAGATTTATTGTTGACCTTTTTTTTTCTTTTAATTTTACAGGTACACTCCGGTTGAACATGACAAAATTTATCTACTACAGTATGTGTGGTGCAGTAATGCGTGGATTAGTTGTTGTGTAATTTTCGACAATATTGTTAATTTATAAACAATAATTTTGGAAATTAACATATAATTTATAAGTTGTTATTTGATTTTTGGCACTAAACTGTTAATTTATAAGTTTTAAATATTAAATATTAACAAATAATTATTAGGTTGTTGCTTGAGATTTGGTATTGAACAGTTAATTTATTTGTTATAAATTTTAGATATTGATCGATAATTGGTAGGGTGTTACTTGCTCTTTGGTATAAGCCGTTAATAATTTAACGGTAATTTTTAAAAATTGATAAATAATTATTGAGTTATTATTTAAATGTTGGCATCGAACTGTTAATTTATTAGTTGTAAATTTCAAACATTGATAAATACTTATTGGCTGTTATTTGAGTTTTGGTACTAAACTGTTAATTTATTAGCTATAAATTTTGGGCATTGAGGGAAAATTATTGAATTATTACATACTAGCTGTTAATTAATTAACTTGTAATTTGTAGAAATTAATAGACAAATATTGGATTGTTACTTGACTTTTTGTACCCAACTCCTAATTTATTAACAATAAGTTTTGGAAATTGATAAATCTGTTGATCCCAAATTTGCCAAATGAACGGTAGTAAACAACCAAAAGCAGAATAGACACAAAAATTTATACCATCGTATTCAATCGGAGCAAGTTCATAAGCAGGTCAAACAGTATGCACACCCAATAAGCAGAAATATGCAAAAATAGAATTGTTAATCCAATTTGGTCACACAAAACCTACACCTGGAGGTTTCAACTAGGCACGATTTCACTAATTCAAGAATAAAATGAGTTTACAAGTAAATTTTATCTATCCTCTCTCAAGGTACGCTAATCTAACCTCACCTAAGTTCCCAAACTAGCCAATGATCACACCATCTAAAAAATATCTAATAAACTAAGATTCTCCTCCGATATTTTACACCACTATCCATTTACCAAAAAACATTAAGATGTTACAAGCGATTTCATTCCCTTGTTGAGGGGACAAGTAATATCTAATATAGACATGAAGCCATAATGATGAATAATTCATATTTTAGTCTTTCTTTTTTTATTTATTTATTGTGATCTTGAATTTTAAACCCAACCAGTTTTATCATGTGCAATTTGGACTATATGCAAACATAAAATAAAAAATAAAAAAAATACAAATACGGTCCACTATACTACTAACAAGATCTTTATTAGGGTGTTATCTGCTCTTCAGTGTTAGATGTTAATTTATTATCAGCAATTTTTAAAAATTGAATAATTATTGGATTGTTACATGATTCCTTCTATTGAGCTGTTAATTATTAAGTTATTATTTGAATTTTAATACTGAGTATTTTGGATGGGGACAGATAATTATTACATTGTTATTAATTGAATTTTGGATGCTGACAGCCGACAGATAATTATTAGGTGTTATTTGAATTTTAGTACTGACTTATAATTTTATTACTTGTAAATTTTGGATGTTGACATATAATTATTAAGTTATTTGAATTTTGGTACTGAGGATTTTGGATGGTGACATATAATTATTAGGTTGTTATTGTTTGAATTTTGGATGCTGACAGATGACAGATAGTTATTAGGTGTTATTTGAATTTCAGTACAGAGCTATAAATTTATTAAATTTATTAGTTGTAAATTTTAGATGTTGATAGATAATTATTACGTATTGAGTATTCTGGATGGTGACAGATAATTATTAAGTTGTTATTATTTGAATTTTGGATGTTGACAGCTGATAGATAGTTATTAAGTGTTATTTGAATTTTGGTACTGACGTATAAATTTATTACTTGTAAGTTTTGGATGTTGACAGAAAATAATTAGGTTGTTATATGAATTTTGGTACTCTGTATTTTGGATTGTGTCAAATTATTATTATGTTGTTATTATTTGAATTTTGAAGGCTGACAGTTGACATATAGTTATTACGTGTTATTTGAATTTTTGTATTGACGTGTAAATTTATTACTTGTACGTTTGGATGTTGACAGATAATAATTAGGTTGTTATCTGAATTTTGGTACTGAGTATTTGGATTGTGTCAGATAATTATTAAGTTGTTATTATTGAATTTTGGATGCTGACAACTGACAGATAGTTATTAGGTGTCATTTGAATTTTGGTACTGCATTGTAAATTTATTTCCTGTAATTTTTGGATATTGACATATAATAATTTGGTTGTTATCTGAATTTTGGTATAGAGTATTTTGGATTATGTCATATAATTATTAGGTTGTTATTATTGAATTTTGGATGCTGACAGTTGACAGATAGGTATTAAGTGTTATTTGAATTTTAGTATTGACCTGTAAATTTATTACCTGTAAATTTTGGATGTTGACAGATAATTATTAAGTTATTATCTGAATTTTGATATTGAATATTTTGGATTGTGTCAGATAATTATTAGGTTGTTATTATTTGAATTTTGGATGGTGATAGGTCACAGATAGTTATTAGGTGTTATTTAAATTTTGGTACTGACCTGTAAATTTATTACCTGTAAATTTTGGATGTTGACAGATAATTATTAGTTTGTTATCTGAATTTTGATACTGAGTATTTTGGATTGTATCAGATAATTATTAGGTTGTTATTATTTGAATTTTAGATGCTGACAGCTGACAGATAATTATTAGGTGTTATTTTAACTACTATTTATTATATATATATTTTTTAAAGAAATATTAGTTTGTACCCCCTCGCTC